AGTAGTAATAAAATAATAGCTTTTCTAGTCTTATTTCTATTACTTATACTTTCTTTCCTGCTTTATTAGCTTAATACCTATAGTATTTTCCCTTAATTTCGCTAAACTAGGTATACCTATTAATACTATTAAAGGTAATAAAAATAATAAATATAATTTCGCTAATTTTTCTGACTTTTCTAAATTCTTTTTTCTTTCTTTACTTAGTATCTATTTCTTTCTCTAAAAGCTTCTCTAATTTATCTATATAATTTCTTATTTCCGATTTCTTTTTAATTCTTATTTCTAATTCTAGTTTACTATTTTATTTAAATTTAAGAATATTCTCTCTTTTAGGTATCTTTTTCGGACTTAGAAGCAAGCTTTACTACTAAGATTAAAACTGCTTTAATTCCGGCTTTTACTATAACTAAAAATAATATATAAATTAATAGTATAACTTTATTTCCAAGTACTAAAGTCTAATTCTAACTAAGGTCTAACTTATACTATCTTAGTATAATATTTCTTATTCTATTTCCTTTACTTCTTTTTCTTCTATAATTAGCCTCTATTTCTACTACCCCTATATACTATACTAGTAACCACATCTTGCGGCTAACCTATATCCAAGTTACTAGATATATTAGAAATTAATATAAGATACTGAGATTAATACTTATATATCCTTAATATTTTGGCCTTAGGCTCAAGGTATTATAATAGCCCTTTTCTTCCCTAACTTACTAAGCTAATAATCCGCCTTATAGATATCTCTCAGAACTTTATAAGAGTATTACCTTAACTATAAAGTTTCTATTCTTCCTATATTACTTACTATAAAATATATGGAAGAGAAACTATAATAAGACAAAAACCTACATAAAGTATACTAGAGTACAAAACGTAACTTAATAGTAAAATAATAAATCAAAAGCGTAAATAGTAAAGCATAAATAGTATATAGTATATAAAAGCTTAATTAATTAAATACTCATAAAGGATTATTCTCTAAGTTTATAGAAAAACCAGCTTTCTTATATGATTTCTGCAAGTTACGTATAAAAGGCCGCGGCCTTTGCCATGTGACCTAAACCTCAAAACCGCCAAAACAATACGATTTTTGACGAGTACGGCCTGCCGTACCACAATATACACATATTTTAACTCTCTCACATTGCGCATTCCCAATCCAGGGCCAAGTCGGGCTCCTCTTGTGTGCTAATTATAGCTCCTGTCAGGGATCTCGTTGTGGCTTCCACTCTTAAAATAGATGGGTACCTAATGTGAGGCACCCGATTCTATAAGAGCCGAATCCGATCCCTTATTAATGAGCCTTATAAAGCTCTATAAACCTCTTACTATAACGCAAGTACAAAACATCTTTTACTCCCTAGTAGCTAGCTGCTTCTTCCAATATAAAGCGCTGTAATTATAGCCACTAGCTCAACTTTGGTATATATAGTAATAGTATATACTTTCTAGAAATCAATAGGCTTCAAAATCTCTCTTATTAGCTTTAAGACCTAAATACGTAATAGTCTAGCTATAACGGTACGAGTATTATGGGCTATATAGAGGCATATAATGTGGTGGGGATTTTACCCCCTATTGGTCACGTGGCGCGGTCAGGTGACCACCGGACGTCCGTACGTCCGGTTTCATATATATTCCCCGCTCTCCTTCTTAGTTCTTAGAAAACCAACTAATAAACCAACCTTCACTCTCTAATTTCACGCCTCACTCGTACGCTGTGATCCCACGCTGTGGAAGCCCATTCTACTCTATATATTACTCCGTGTTTTATATCCCTATTATAATAAGAGTGCGTATTATAGACTAATCATAATACTTATAGGCTAGCTGCAAAGGAGAAAAGAAATATAATAAAGGAAAATATAAAGGAGTATTATACTATAACTTTTATAATCTAGTCTGAAACCCCTCCGAGTTTGTCCCATTATAGTATTTGGAAAATAACACGTAACCTTATCAAGAGTAAGTCTTTATTGAAATTAGGGGCCTAAGGCCCCTAATGGGCTTAGTAAGCCCTGGAATAGAGCCTTAGGGGCTATATACTAATGAGGCTTAAGCTATAAGCTTATTACTAAGTATATTATGCCTTATAAGATTAATTTAGGGCATAATAACCGAAGTCCCTACCAAAAGCACGACCCCACCAAAAGCACGTGAATTGACGAGATTTCCCGAAACTTCCAAAAATTAGTATTTAATAACCATCTAATGGATTATAATAAAACTGAAGCAATGCGTAGTATCAATTAAGAACTCGATATTATTTCAATTAAAAAAGCTATTTAAAGCGTTGTGGTAAACTAATTGTCCGCGTGGCTATTTTCCTTGCTCCTACCACCATTAGTACTACCCCCTGATCTGGCAGAACCACATTAGGTTATACGGGCAGTTCCACTGGTGCCTTTACCTTAGGGAGCGCCTTTGTCCGATTTGACACTCTCGGAGTAGCTTTTTTTGCCTTCGGAATAGTATAATTTGGCTGCTTCTTTGGTGTCTTTTTGGCCACCGTAGCTCGCTCCTTCCCCCCTCCCTCTCTTGCGGCCTTAGCCCCCCCTATAGCTTTCTCCTTCGCTTTCCTCTCTTTTTCTAGCTTATTTTTGAGGGCATTTGCGGCTCTCTTGATTTTTCTTTCCAATTTCGCCTCCTCCTCAGCTGCTTTTAGTGCTTCCTTTTGCTCCTGATATTCCCTAGCCTTGACTACCTGCGCAGGAGAGTAGTAATCGACAATACCCTTATTTAGCTAGCCACAAAGATTCAAACGAACTCCTTATTGACCCTTCTTCTTCTGGAGATTAATAGCCTTAAATAAGCCTCGGTTTTGGTATTATAGGCAAGCTACTTGTGCAGAGAGATATAAGGTGGTAGCGAAGAGTTTCTTGACTTTGTCTTTAGTTAGTTCTTTATCATATGCAAGCTGAAATCGACGAATTGCTTTTGAAGTCTTGGGCGTACGTAATTCCTGAGCCTTTTCAGGTAAAGAGAGCGTGGGACGAGTAATAGTCTTAATAATTGTGCTTCCATCTATTAGCCAGATACCCGATTTGCGAAAAGCAGATTAGATATTTTCCTTAGTAAAAGCTTTATCAAATGCGATCTTGAATCTCGGCCAAAAAAGCCCTTTTGTCATTCCAATGGTTCCCATTATTTCGTCTATTAGCTTATTGATTTCAATGGAGTAATATGTCGAGAGAGGTTAGAAAAGGCCCATATTGAGAGATTAAAGGCAATGGGTCGTATAAGGTAGTAAAATCAGGAGAATTATACCATTTTGATTAGCCCAATTAACGAATGCCATATTAACGTGGCTTGAATGTCTATCTATAATTAAAAGACGCTTTTGGGTCATACGTTTGGGTTTGGTATAGCGTTCAAAGATCTTCTAAAGCCACACTAGCCCGATCGCATTATTGGACCATTTATTACTTGAAACCGTAAAATGTGCCTTCGAATCTGTCTTTACTTCATTGACCCATATACTTATTAAATCGCCCGATTCGCCTTTGTATATTAGAAGTGGTGGTATCCATTTTCCAATTACAGATATGCAAGCCAAGATACTAATGAACTCCCGGCTTTCATCCTGCTTAGCCTTCGTGATTCTCCCTAAACGTAAAGCTTCTTGTATTATTATTCTCTTCAAGGAACGTCCAAACCCTATCAAGAATCCCTTTTCATCGAAATTATATATGTTTTCGGCTATAATTCTGTATTTTTCGATGACTATTACAAGCTAGAGAGCCAGACACACGTTAGCGAGTATTCAAGTAATAAACACGCGAAATAATATTAGAAAATAGCTTATAATACTGAAAAAGAGTTAAAATATTGGGGCATATTCGGTACCGGCTCGTAAATTATTAATATTACGAAGGTATAGGCTTTTTAGCCTAATGCTATGGCGCTTGATAAAATGGCCTACCTAGTTCTTCCCCACTTCTGCTCCCCTGATTTCCTCTGCAAGATTCTTGATAATATAACTAGTGGGCGGCATTCCCCGATCCGTAAGGTGATTAATTCGATAAATTAGAACCTCTTCTTGCTCGATGGTAAGGCATTGGTGCCAAAATGAGTTGGCTTACTGTCGAGTCTTCGTAAGGCCCCGAATACGTCGAGAAACAGCAGAACGCGAGCATTCATAGTACTTAGCTGCCTTGCTATAATCAGTGAACTCCCCTCTTTGAATTGCACCAATTGCCTTCGTAATCCGAGCTGATTTGTCGATTCTAGCCATGGTTTTGGTACTGGTGGTGGGACGCGATTTAGCGTGTTTTTGGTCGGGTCGTGCTTTTGATAGGGAGTTCGGTTATGCCTTATAAGGCTAAATTGGTTTAGTTAAGGTTGAATCGTTTAGTATAAGGCTCTTTAGTTTAGGGGTTTAGTACATGTGACTTAGGGGGTTCAGGGCTATATAAACAGGCTACTTACTACTATAGAACAGCAGTCAATTCAGTACGTTTTACTTGGTTTACATTGCAAGCACGTGACCCTAGCTTTATTATTAAGCTAGTTCAACAGTCTTGGATCGTCACAGATCTACACACCAAGTCACGTGTGACGAGGGAGAGGGAACCAAATCAGCTTACTAGGGCTCGGCAAAAACCCTTGCTAAATGGTGACAGGGGAACGAAAACGAATACCATTGTGACAACTTGATAGGCTCAAAGAGGTGGCTATGCCACAGGCAACAGGATCTTAATATAAATAATATGGAAACTGTAGCCGATTCACGACGGGGGGCTAGAAGAGGATCCCCTGAGCAGAATCTAGCTGACTCATTAGCGTGCTTAGGGGCTCAGGGCTCGGCTCAGGTTAGAGCGGCGCCTGCTCAGGTCCAAAGACGGAAGTGGAATTTGGAGAGGTTCAGATTCGAGGCAGATTATACTGGTAATCTTAGAACGTAGCACTGGGGAGCATAGAACGTGTCCGAGAAGGATGAGGGAGAAGAGCATAGTTTATTCTTTGTTTATTAAGGAATACAGAGTCTTGAAGACGAGCATTATTATATCTATTGCGTTAAACCTGCTTGTAGCTTGCGTGACATCCTGCCATCCCGTCCTTCACAAAAAGGGACGATTTATTTTATAATATCGTAATAGTATATCCTGCTATCCCGTAAAACTCTTGGTAATAGCGAGATTCAATAGGTTTAGGATTCTGCAGCCAGAACATCCCTCCTTCAGTCTTTCGAGAGGTCTCGTAGACACCGACCTTCTTATAGTATCCCGACCGTCCTGGTTGAAGGCTCAGAACAAGCCCATAAATCGCTACCCATTCTTTATCGTAGGTATGATGGACTAAAGGCATGATAACTAAGTCTTTGCTTTGGCGAAACTCAGGGTTCGAATGTCGAATCATCATATCAGCTCGAGTTCCGATCTGTTCATATGGACTGAAAACGATATTGAGGGGATCGTCGGCACTGAGATCCCACCGCCTCTGGAGTCTTATCATGCTGCTGATCGCATTGACTGGAATTTTATCGATCTTTAGCTTAAGTAGTAGCCCCGTAATTCGAATGTATCCGCCAGGCGCCTCGCGGCCCGACGCCTCGCCACCCGATTCCTCACCGTCCGTGGTTTCGTTTCGCATAGTTGATTTGATTTCATGTATTTGTGCCATCGTGTCCCATTGTACGTTCAGGGAGCTGAGAAAAGAGACGGGGCCATCTATCGACGCCCAAGACCAGCTTGGTGCCCTATATGAGGACACTTCAGTTATGTCTCCTGTGGCATGCCAGAGTAGTCCCCGGTATATGTCATTTTCCCACAGTCCGTCGACATATCTGTCCTTCAACAAGTTCATAAATACCCTCGCAATGCCGGAGATGGCCGGAAGCTTGTCGGTATCGAAGGTCAATTTTCTAGTCGAGTACTCGGTGACAAATTCGGTCCACTGGACATAGAGCTCCGGCTATTATAACTGTTAGCAGAGCTCAATTCCAGTGGCATTACCAGCATTGCATTTCTTACTTTAGTCAACTCGCTATAACGCTCTATTGGTTGCACTACCCGCATTTTGATGGATGATGGGTTGAAGAATGGGGCACCTGAGGGAAACGACTCGCAACAGCTTGCGGTATAACATTCCCAGTACATTTGCCTTCGACCAAAATGTAGCGTTCTTGGAGACTTCTTATTATTAGTAAGTATAGTCAAAACTGTCTGCAATTTGAACTGTGCGAGAAGCAGAGAGAGAAAGAAAACTTGCCATGACTTGCTCTTGGCAGACCCATCCACGTTCGTTGAGTGGCGCTCTAGTTACTTCTCTCGTCCAGTCGAATGAGGGAAAGACCGAGTATTTAGGACTGTGTGAATTGAACTTGACACAATCAATCTTTGGCGGCATGATTTCTCTTGGTTCGGTGAACCTTAATAGGCCTTCCTGTCCATTTCGGTATCCCGTAGCCGCAAGATTCAAAACACCATTAAGATAGACCCGGTCCATGGCAAGACTTTCCTTATGCCAATCGTCTCTTGAGTCTTGGATAATGCAAAGGGAGTCAATCCAGATGTAGCGAAATCCTAGATCGTATGTAATTCTTATTGCGTCTTGGAACACCATAGGCAGCTGTTGTAGTGGTATTGACTGTTCCAGCTCCTGCAGCTTGTCCTGTGTCAACTTGAAGAAGGGGACTTTACCCCAACAATGACTGAGCGACACATATTCGGTCTCGCGAGGGAGCGAATCGCTATGGCATAACCGTATAGAAAGACCTTTCTTCTCTTCGGTTCTATCCACAGCGACCAGACGCGTTGGGAGTTCTCCTTTAGCTGACCATGAACATATTTTGTGTCGCTCACGACAGGCAGAAAGCCAAGTTTTCACAATACGAATAATGATGAATTGTCTGAGCAAAACCACCATGTCGGTATGAATAGCCGGATTATTCGGCACAGTATATCTGAATTTGGAAATATATGGGTCGACTTCTACTCACACATTAGATTCAAGAACTTGAGCATTTGTTTGAGTGGGACAGGGTATTTTTACCTTGCGCCGGTATAGCCACAAATCGGCCGATTAACCTGAGTGATTCGTAGAGAAGCTTGTCGCCCTCAATAAACCAAATGCCGATCTCCTTAAGTTTCTCGGAAGAATCCTTAGCCGCTGTTGTTAAACAGTAGCTGATGTTTACGGGTCGATCTCGATCAGCGGGTTTCCCATCCAGTACCTCCGCAGCGGGTTCCCTATCCGACACTTCCTCAGCCTCGATCGGATTCATCCATTCCAAAATGCGAACGCAGATATAACACTTTTCTCCGGCGGATTGCTGAAGCTCAGAGCGGCTTTTGTAATGAGCGTAAGTCGGCTTGTCAATGGGAAGCTCCCACTGAAGCGGCGGCCCGGAAGTGGGCATATACTCTATGGTTTCTGCACGGGAAAAGATGGAGCTGCATCTTGAACACAGATGAGACGTGCTTCTCGAAGCCATTCTGCAGCGGTCGAGTGCGGCGTTAGTCTTTTCAAGGCGACAGGGGAGAAACGTTTGATGTGTTCCGAAGTAGCAGATGAGCGGTAAGGTTCTTGTGGTTGTTGCCTTCAGCTGTACTACTGTAGCGGGCGCTTAATAGACGCGCATCCACTGTGCCGAGAATGGAACGATCGACAGATCCGTACACACACGGGTCGGTACTCCGTACATACAGTACTATCCCCCTTGTGACAGACCTAGCTCGCCTATCACCTAATACCACATGGGCATGTGACCTTCACCTGACAGGGGTACTGACCCGCGATAATATTAGCGGGCGCTAGCGCACAGACTTACTCTTAAGTCTATCAGGCACACTTCAACAAGGCTAAGCCGCTTCCAAGTATCACGTGCATATAAAAGGTTTCCGGAGGGAACCTTGTCAGAGCCAAAATAGGATCCGCCCCTACAGACAAAACGAGGAAAGCATAAGCGGGCTTCAGGGGTGCCAAAACGCGCCCCTGCGGATACTAAAATAGCTCTTTAATGTATGCTCAGGATGTGCTCAGGATGCTCACCCTCAGCTCAGGTTAGAGCGGCGACGGCTCAGGTCCAAAGACGGAAATGGACATTGGTAGGCTCAGTTGTCGTCTGAGACTTTCGAGGTAGCCGGCGGCTTTCTTGAAATAGCGGGATACCTTGGTCAGGTCCTTTTACACTCCGATCCTTTCAGCTTCAACTACTTTCTCATGTAAGCAATATTCCACTGTCGAAAGATTCCTCGTAAGAAATCGTTACTCAAGACCATAAGTTATCTCATCTGCCTCACTATCGGCCCAACTCTGCTCTCCGCAGCCCTCTATCTCTGCCTCGCACGGATCATCGTTTCGTATGGCATCGAACACTCCCGTTTTCAGCCTCGCACATATGCCATCACCTTTATGAGCTGCGACTTCACATCTTTGGTCTTGCAATCCATCGGCGGAGGCATTACCTCCACCTCGGGTAACAAAGTTACTTCAGATACTGGTGTCCATATCATGGTCGCTGGTTTGGCGTTACAGGTTTTCAGCTTGATCCTGTTCATGGTTCTCTGCCTCGAGTTTGGCTGGCATGTGAGACACTCCCGTAAAGACTTCCGGGAGCGCTTCGCGGATTTGAGAAGTACCGACGCGTTCAGAGCTTTCAAATATGGTTCGTGAAGTCCTCCACCCTTCTCTAGGGAAGTATTAACTGGCATGCTCCTCAGCACTGGCGATATCCACCACAGCCATCGTCATTCGATCGGTGTATCGTGTTGTTGAACTATCTGGTGGATTCGGAGGAGCGTTGGCGAATAACCAGGCTGCATTCATGGTGCTAGAGGGTTCGATGGTGATCATCGCGGTACTAGCTATGACCGTATTCCACCCTGGGATATGTTTTAATGAGCATTGGGAGACTGCTGAATGGAAGTTAAGGAGTAAGCATTGATTGCTGTTGGTGTTATTTCCATCCCCGGTTGACTTTGTTTTGTTCTTGAGGTGTCATGGTCAATGATCAGCAGCCCCTGTATTCTTTGTATCCTTTTCATATCGATTCCCTGTACCGGTATTGGACCATAATCGGATCAGCCACGGGATCTGGGATACGTGCGCGTCCTCCCATTTATTCAAGGGTGTTTCGCCAAGGAATATGACGAAATGTACTCGCTCAGTTTTGATTAATCTCAGCGCACTTTTTCGATCGAACAATACGTCAGGTTATCTGCAAAGAGATCGCATGGAGTGGAAGGAATTCCAATCCCATCTTGCATGCTGTTTCTACTTTTCTACTGCCCAACATTACACTCATGTCGTGGTTTGAGAATTAAATGACTGAACAGGTCTTACACCTGAACGCTATTGATTTCACTATTGTACAGTACTGTATTGCATTCTATGAATAGTCGTACGCAGGGTACATATTGCACATGGTTTGTTTTTGATGTCTCGGATAGTTAGGGTTGCCATATAGGAATCCAAGAAAAGCGACGAGCGACTAGCCAACGAAAAAGGAGAAAATAGGAGAAAAGGAAGGTCAACCACGAAAGCGGCTACGGAGTGCAAGTCAGATAATTGTCTTCGCGCTTTTGCTAAACGCCCCGAGGCAGCTGCCTTTTGCGCTACCTACACGGCTGGTGGATCACAAGCTCTACTGACATATGCTGCGAAGGGTTGCGCACCATCAGCTTCCAGAGTATCGAGTGCCTGCTCTTGTATAGTACTGCGACTAACACTACCTACTACGATTTACCACTGCGACGACGGCGAACAACTTAACAACTACCACAAACCGGCAGCCTGCAAGAAAGTAAGACAGATCCGTTTGTAGTGCACGAAAGAGAGACTGACATATTTCTAGAACAACTGTTACCGCGCTATGCTGCATCCCCCTGTCACACCATTCTGCACTAGCTATCTTGCAGGGCGGGCAGTGGCATCCCTGTCGGGGTAGCAGCTGGTTGCAGTTCCTTAGCTTCCATGATTCCCAGCGGTTCTGCATGTGCAGCGACTCAGAAAAGTCTGAAATGCTAGTTGAGCAACAAGCATAAAGCCATAGATGGATTATTAATGTTACAAAGTGGGGCAATAATGGGATACGGTTTAACATTTGGAAATGACTTAGATCGGTGGTGGAATAGATCATGCTTTTTGTCAACTTACTGCTCTGGATCTTCGCATGGACGACAACTATTGCGATAACCAGAAATTGAACCACTCAACGATACTCCTATAGCTCTGTTCCTTGACATACCGCTCATACGGACCATCCAGATTACAACGCACAGCAAAGCCGTGACTAACACCCTGGAACAACTGGAGCTGATACTTCTTCCCACCTTCCTTTAGCATCCCCACCGCTTTCTGCCACTTCTCAGGCGGGAAAGCATGATCATTTTCCGCGCACGAGAGTAATAACGGCTTCGCAAGATTGTGAAATTGCTCATCAGTAAGGGCGCCTGGGTGTGCAAATGCTCCAGCAGTAATGAAGCCGTCGGCCGTCAAGGAGTCGAGTACGTATGGCGCGCCGAAGCAATAGCCTACGCAGCAGTACTTGGTGGTCTCTTTGCCGTATGTTGCAGCTATGGCTTTTGTCCATTTTGGCACGGTGGCGCGGGCAAAGCTGGCGTGCTTGTCTCGCCATGCTGCGTGGTCAAAGTCTGGATCTGTGGTCTTGTCATCTTTGTCTTTGCGATGTTTCCACACCGGATCCTGCATTTCATTAGATGGAACTTATCAGAGGAAGGTTAAAGGGTCTTGTTACGTCTCTGAAATAATCAATCCCGAATACGGTATATCCGGCATCGGCAAAAGCATCCATTAGCAGCATAGCGTTGTTATAGAAGCCATGAACATCTGGATAGTAGAACAAGATGTTGCCATTGCCTCTTCCTGGATGAGGGCTCGTTATGTATGTAGGCGCCTCTTCGATGGTATTGGAAAGTAATCGATTTATTAATGGAAAATCGATATATTGAAGGTTGACAGACTGCAGGATGACTAGATACAGAAGAGTGAGTTCTAGAAACAGAGGAAAAGTGTCCAAAGTAAGGGATTTATTCCCATTACCCTTCGGCGATACCGGTGATGCCGAGCCCGCTTTCTCCGATATATTATCAATTAGCTAATAAATCAAAAGTAATCAAAATAACGATATACTAGTAAGCTTGGTAAGCTCGGCGAGTGACGCATGACAAATGAGAGTGGAGAACCCTAAATTAGTGGTTGAACCTGGTGCTGGAAGGACTGGTAAGCTAGCTATGGTAGCGTACCAATTTCAACAGATGGTCTCTACTTTTCCTCGCGTCTCCCCGGTGTGGAGATTTCCTGATAGACAGTGATCACCAGGAGGAATTGCCAGGTAAGAATCTACTGGTGGTGCCATTCTGGTTTCGGGAAGAGACGATAAAATGAGATATTCGGAAAGAAAATGAGGAAGAGTTTATGTGACTTGAGTTGGAAGATGAGGCAAAAGAGGGGTAAGATGAGAAAGCCGAGGATTTGCCGACTTGACAACTGGGGCCCGTTGTGTACGATTTCGATCATGTCTTCACAGAACACTAGACGACATGACCTTGCTCAAATTTAAGCCCATTCTCTCTATACATTTACCGGGGGGACAGACCTGAGAACAGACGTGTGTGGCATTTGAATTTCGGGGGTTATTTGTTCCCCTTCCGTTTTCGCGTCCCACTGCCACTATGCTTCCTGGATATCTTCCCTCCCAGATGCCCAAAACGCCACATCAAGTCGTCAAATCCATACATAATACAATCAATATCCATGCCTATGCTTACAATCCACTCCCCTTATTACCTCTGATCCTTCCATCTTTCACAACACCAACACTAACCCCTTCCTCGCCCGTCATCCATCCAGGCATCTTCTCCCCATCAACAATACCAGCTTCGATCAGCTCCCTGATCCCGGCAAATACATGTTGACCGTGGAACGTGATTCGTATATCTGGTCTCCATCCATCATCAGCCAATTCATCCACGTCTTCCATTCTGTCGAGTTCAAGGGTTATGGTACTCCTCCTGCCCTTATGTTTCTTGTCCTTCCTTGCAGGTTCTGTGCCTTCCTCTGCTTCGACATCGTCGTCCGCCAAGGCAGAGACAGTGGGGAAGTGGTCTTCAAGACGAACATCCAGCCTCTCGATCCCTTTCCCATCGTCCGCTTTGGCAGACTTCCCAAATCTCCCTCTGGCAACCAATTTTCTCCTTTTCACCACCGATGGATCCTCGACTCTTTTACGCTTCATACCCGACTTCTTTTCTGCAGAATCCTTGTCCTCTTGATCATCCTCCAAGATCGATGATTCTGGTGTAGGAAGTTGCACATTCAACGGATTGTCACTCTCCTTCTTCTTATCTTCAGCATAAACACCCCATCCCCCGCCCGCAGCATTCATCCTCCCCCCTCCCCTACGTTCGACCAAAACATCCAAATTCTTCGCACTGAGACTTGTACCCTCCAGCTTAAAACGATCGCGCGGTTTGCTGAATGCTTTGGGGATGCCTTCTAACATCAACTTTCGTAAACTTTTGTTGTCCGCTGAAGAGGATACCGAGCCAGGGGCGGAGGAACTCGTAGCTGCGAGAGAAACGTATATGTACGGTGAGAAATCCGGGAAAGCTACATAGAATGTCTTGCTTGCATCGAACGTCGTCCTTTCCTTTGCTGAATGTAGCGCAAGACCTGTATTGTACGGACTTTCAAGGATGAACACTCGAAGGATTAGGAGAGGCAGGGTGGGATGCCGATCCAGATTGTAATGCGCTTTGACGTCTGGCAGCGCTTCTCTTTGTAGATTCCGCAGGAAAGTCGCAGGATGGAAGCGGGGTATCGAAGGGTGTTCTTTGTCATTCGGCGCAATATATTCGCCGGATAATCGTACAATCTTCAGCGCAGTCCATTTCTGGGACGCCGGGTGGTCGTAGAGGTATTGCATGTCTGCCATTGCCAATTGGTATAGAGATATGCCATATCGCCAGTCTCCTTCAAGTATTCGGTCCACCACATCTCGTTTTGATCCCTTTCGTGCTTGTAGGTCTGTGTAGATTTCGCGGAGGGCTGCGAGGGAAGATGCGGGTGGATAAAAGTCTTGCTCGTCGTCTTCGTCGTCTGATGATAGCAGATAGGGGCCTGAAGTCTCTTGATTGCGCTCGTCAAGCCAGTCGAGGACCAGGGAGAGCAGTGAGGGCCGCGTGAGTCGGTAGAGGATTCTGGTGACTGCGGGGTGTGACGCGGGGATAAGTTGCGAGGAAGGGAGCGCTGATGTCGTTGGAACGGAGAGGAGAGACATCATGATATGCAAACTATCTAGCTCTCAGAGGTCATTGCCGGAGTTCTATTGTGATTCGTTCTTGTTGCATTGTGGTTGTTGAAGCTCGAATTGTTGTTGTTGTTTTCGACTACAAACGCGGTTGGAGACACGCCGAAATCTCCAGACCACGTGACGAGCTCCCAAAGCTCCACACATCAAATCAAGTGAACGGATCCAACTTGGCTTTAAAGATGTCTGGATTGGTGAAAGTCAAGGAGGCGGCTGTCTTTTCTATTCCAAATCTTTAAAATGTCTAAATATCAAATGCACATACCAGGGTATCTATCCAACCACCCATATTTACACATTCTAACCGCATTTATCAAACTTGCCTAACCTCCCATAGATAGATCAACCGTCATAGGCAGCCCAGGAGCCTCAAAGTTTGTATCCCTCAAGCTCCTTCTCCGTCCACTCCCACAGCTTCCTCGCCAGATCCATATCCTGGCTCTGCCAACTCCCATTCCCAGGGACTCCAACAGGAGTGTAGTACTCCCCACTCTTCACTTCCCCCTTCCCATCTCCCTTCCTCGCCGTAGCACCCCAGAGCTGATTCTTAGATCCGCCTTCAACAGTCGTATAAAACATCCTCTTTCCCGCATTCAACAGCCCACCCAGTCCCATCCAGCCCGAGAACACTGTTCGCCAAAGCTCCGTATCCACGACCCCAGGGTGGACCCCCACAGCCGTGACACTCGGATATCTCCTGGCCAATTCTCTTGTAAACAAGATGTTCGCCAACTTCGACTGCGCGTACCGCACTAGACTCGGATACCACTTCATCTCCCCCCTCAGCTGTCCAAACTCAATGCCATTCCAAGATGTAGATATATGACCAATAGAACTCAGACATACAACTCTGACATCTGCTCCTGGCTCTTTCGCAGTCTTCAACAACGTTGGCATCAGGAGTTTGGTGAGCAACGCGTGTCCCATATGATTTGTTCCAAATTGGATCTCGTAGCCATTTGTTGTTGTCCCGGCTGGAAGGCCCATTACGCCAGCATTCAAAATCAAGATGTCTAGTCTATCCTCCTTGCTTGTGAATTCTCGGGCCGCGGCTTGTACGCTCGATAGGTCTGCGAGGTTGCATTGTACGAATTCGATTGGGGCAGATGGGACTGTGGCTTTTATGTCTTGGATCGCGGCGAGGGCTTTCTCTTTGCTTCGGGCTGCGAGGTAGATACGTTTTGGGTTGCGCTTCGAGAGCTGGAGGATGCTTTGTTTTCCGAGGCCGATGTTGCCTTTCAGAGAGCCGTTAGCTGTAATTTCAATGCATGGGGCGACTTAGAACGCAGACACACCGCCGGTGACGAAGATCACTTTTCCATTGAGGGGAGGGATGTCTTTCTCCGCGTGGAAAGATACCCCGCCTGGGAAGACTCCGTACAGCATTGTTCTCTTGCTCGAGGGTTGTATAAGCTGGCGGGATTCGTATTCGATGAGTGAGAGAAGTGCTCCCAGATTAATTGCCTTCAAGGCGGTCGTCGAATGTTGTGGAGTGGCATGTTAGCAACGTTGATGAACTAGAGCGAACCTAGAAACCGAGGTGCTGAGGATCGTCGCAAGGTTACAGTAAGCGAGGAAGTTGCCTCTGATTCCACCGAGCGCATGCTTGAGCACCATTCTCTACTGTTTTAAATTGAAGGATCGTGAACCGATAGTAAAGTTGCCATGGAAGACGAAAGACGAGCACGCAGTCCGAGATTAATTGTCCCGAAGGCTGTCGGCGAGGCTCAGCACCCCGTGACCGCCAAATGCTCACGGATCTTCACTTGATTCTGACACTGTCTTTTCTATCCAGTCCTAGCGGGCTTTTCCATTTTGACTCTAAGTACTTCTGTCCATGGATTTGACCGCCGGTCGGATATTCTTTTGCCTACCTCTTCGGTCTGCTTTCTCTTCTGATGAAAGTCTGAGCTGAGAATGAACGTCCAGAGGACCGCTTTCATTTCGTGCCGTTCACCATCTTCGACTCTACCAACCTTACGCATCGATTCTGCACCTTATCGTACACAAACGCGTGTATTTGTAGGCCTCGTTCGTTCATTGCCTTCTCCACATTTGACTGATTGCGTATCCATTCCGTCTCTGCTAGCACATAGATCTCCTCCAGTATCCGGTCATGTTCTTCCTCACTCAAATTTTTATTTGTCTCTGAGAGGTATTCGGCAGTTGTTCGGTGTAGTCGGGTGACATCTCTATTTCCCAGTCAGCCTCGGCATTATTCGACTTATGCAGGGCACCTACTTGTGCCAGCCATGAACCTCATTTGCATCATTCTCTCGAATCAGAGCACAATCGTAATGCCCACACACCACAATATGGTTCACCTAGCTCCCTCTCTGTCAGAATTTCATTGATCCGCTTTCTTGGTGCTCCAGACGTACCTTCAACAAATCCAAGCACCAATCCAGCGCGCTCTCACTGCTCAAATCCCGGTTGTGCAGGATACTCCCCAGATTTCGATGGACAAAGATCTCCTCCGGCAATACATCCAACGTCTCCGTCTCAATAATAAAACTATCACTGCATCCCACCCACAGAATCTGCGGTTTCGGCGCCCCAGACGACAGGATAAAGTCTCGTGGGACCGGGAGTGTGACGTATCGCTTTCGGACAGCAGTGTTGAAATCGAAAGGCATTTTTGAGGACGAAGTTGAAATACATTGAACTTCTATTCACATGGGAGATTTCAGTCGAATTACTACATTTTCGATGGGAGTCCAATCCAATTATCGAAATCGCTGCCCGGCATTGATGAGGCCAAATATGAGGTTCGTGCTCCCACGCGAAGCCCCTTTCAGACCAAGCGGCCTAGAAAACAGGTGACATTTCGAAAAGTCACACCACAATGCCGTAAAGGTTTCCCAACGCTCGGTTTGCGCTGACTGTATTTCTTGGATGAACCTGGCTGGTTGGGTTCAGCCTCCGCATCGCTCCGAGGTTGCCACGATAGTCCCTGCAGGAGCCCAGAAGGAGAGAAATGCAGGGAGCCGGGTGGAAGAGAGCCCGAGACATGCAACATCGAGTCTCTTCGTTGCCGCAACCGGAGATCTTCAATCAAGCCTTCTTGTTAGCGCTTTAATAATGTCAGTTCCGGCTTGCATGTAGCCCTTGTCCATGGAGTTGTAAGTATTCCTGGAACGTTGGGATCTTGATGGTTCGACTCTGAAATCACAATTATTAAACAAAAACGGAATATAATGGAATAGGACCACACGCGCTCGTGCGACACGAGCTGATCATCTTCAGCCAACCACACGACTTGACTACTGCAGTACAGTAATAATCACGTCTGCAGGCAACTTTATGAAATATCGCAAACCTTGGTCGCCAACATGTTGCCAACATCTTCGACTGCGACTGGTTCCTCGACACTTGGTTATTCAATCCACGTAAACGACAAGGCATATGTGCTGAAAGAGTCCGTTTTAGCGATGGATGCTTTCGAGACGGCAAAGAACAAGCTTATCTCGTCGCTGAGTGCCCAGGAGGCTGCCACTCTGGGGACGCTGCATACTGCCGAAGATGTCCTCGGCGAAGTAAGAAAGGCTGAGGAAAACCACAGAAGCAAGAGTAGCACTCGAAGATTTCGTTATGTTAATTGCTGAATGTTATGGCCATACTCATGCTTACTCGTTTGAAAAAGCTTGCAATTGAGTTCATCGACTTCTTTGAGAAGTGGGTGGACATGTTTCGTCGACTTGGGAAGAGTCTGGGAAGGTTCGAGATTTATGCACGTCTCTATCCTACGTCCGAACGATTGAAAGAATCTCTCATTGAAGCGTATGAGAAATTTCTGGACCTCTGTCTCAAGAGCAAGAGTGTGTTTGCAGAAAAGTCTTCTAAAAGATTGAAGTGTAAGTGGACGCTGCCAAAATTTCGCCTGGTATCCTTGTGCAAAGAGATTTGACAACTAGATTTTCCAGGGCTTCCGAATTCGAGCGCGGTCGTCGGAGTTAAGTTACTATGGAAGCCTATCAAAGTCGAGTTGGAGAGTACCCTCGAAGAGCTGGATGAGTTGCTTGAAGACGTCGAGATGGAAGCAGACGTTGCCGAAAAAGTGGAGTCGGGTGTGTCACGGCTCGTGATAAATAATCATGTTTCGGGTATGTCTGAATATTTGGAATAAGATCTAGTTTTGGAATCCTAATATCAAATTACTAGGACAACAGAAGAGGGAAGTGTTCGACTGGCTCGGCCCCGTGGATCCTAGTATCAATCATTCGAATGCCGTTAAACTGCACGAACCTAGCACTGGAGAGTGGATCTTTGATCATGAAAAGTACAAGGAATGGGAAAGCAAAGAAAATGCTGCATTGTGGATCCATGCCAAACGTAATCATCAGACTGACCCTTGAATGAAACACCACTGACCTGGAGTTGAATCGCAGCTGGAGCAGGCAAAACGATACTTGTGTAAGCATATATCCATACACAGTGCCCTGACCACGCAACGGTGGAGACTGATAAATAATAGGTCAACGATTATCAGCAACATTATCCAGACATTCGAAACTGACCTAACACTCACAGTATGCTACTTCTACTGCGACTATAAAGACGTTCAGAAAAGAACCCCACGGAAAGTCTTGGAGACACTCATTTCGGAGATTTGTCGTCATAACTCGGATGCGTTAGCATACGTCGACGATATCTCATCCAAATTTCGCGAATCCAAGTCCACATGTACCATACCAACGCTCTTCTCGATCCTGAAGAAGTGCCTAGAATTCCAACAGACATTCATCATAATCGACGCTTTAGATGAGTGTGACGACCGACAAGAGCTGTTAGGTTTCCTTGTTAGCCTTTCAAACTCTGGATTGAGATTGAGGCTGTTACTTGCAAGCCGAAATGAAAGGGATATCCAACAAGAACTAGGATCACTGCCGCAAATGACCCTCACCGGTACCGAGAGCGATCATGACATCGAAGTCTACATTCATTCCAGCCTCAACGCCATGATCAAGAGCAAGAAACTAAAACTCCGAGATGAGAGCCTTCAGATGGAAATCTTCGAATGTCTCTGCTCGTCTGCTGATGGAATGTAAGTTCGATTCCTCTTCTCAGCCGGGAGACATATTTACAGATCATTTGAAATAGGTTTCAATGGGTTAAATGTCAACTTGACACATTGTGTACACTCATTACAGACAAATCCATCCGAGCGTCCTTGAAGCAACTTCCCAAGGGCTTAGATGAAACATATGTTCGCGCATTCTCCAAAATTCGCAAAGAGATGGGAGAGGATGGAGTCATGATAAAAAGAATATTTCATTGGCTCGTCCATTCCAAGAGACCCCTCACCCTACAAGAACTTTCCGAGGCAATTAGTATTGAATTTCATCAGAGGCAGTTGGACTTCTCTGCCATACCGACAGATCCAGCAGATATTTTTCGATTCTGCCGGGGACTTGTAAGCCTTTCTGGGCACGACAACGAAGAGACCGTGAATCTATCTCACTTCTCCATCAAAGAGTTCCTTCTGTCGCCAAGAATCAAGGAAACAGAAATTTCAGAATTTTATGCTGGATCTTCTGCGGCAATGTTTGATATTGCAGCAGCATGCCTCACATATATCATGCTGGATGACTTCAGGGAAGGTCAGTGTGTGAATAGAACGAAGATGGGGGAACGGAAAAGCAAGTATGCTTTCTTGGCCTATGCCGCACTCTACTGGAGTGATCACTACAAGTCCGCTAGTTCTGAGGGGGACGAAATACTGGAGGAGCTTGCGCTTGCACTTTTCACTAACCCTGCTCATTCAGGGTGTGTGGAATCGTGGTTTCAAGCAAACACAGAGGCAGAAGCTCAACTTCGCTATAAAACGTACAGGACACAATCAAAGGCCCCGGATCATGGGGGAGAGGAGGTACAAAGAGAACCAACTTTGGTGACTGATTGCACGGCAATGTACCACGCCGCGCGACTCGGACATCCAAAGCTTGTCAGACGACTCATCGCTAATGGCCATGATGTGAATGCCAAAACTCAAACGGATTTTGGAGTATATGATTTCCCGATAATCGTAGCTGCCTCTGGAGAGCACTGGGCCACTGTGGATCTGCTCATCGATGCTGGCGCTTCGCTCCATGTAACTTCCAGAAAAGGGAGTTTTCTCACTGGTCTTGCACGAGGGTGTAGTCCCGAAATATGGTGGCTGTTCAAAAAAATACTACATATGGGGGGTTCGCAGCTCCTTCAAGAGTTGACGGCAGCCCCTGGGCAACCTTGGATTGATGAGAATATTTCTGTGTTAGGAGCCCTCGCCTTACATCCGCTGGATGCCAGGGAAATGGTGGAATTATTCATAAAGAACGGTGCAGATGCAAACGACTGGTTGGAATACGACTCGATAGAGAGAAACATGAAGGAAAAAGCACCAGCAGAGTACGCTCGATATGGTTCACCGCCTCTCCAGCGAGCCGCGTTTCAGGGCAACAACAGAGTTTTAGAAGTGCTAGTCGAGGCGGGTGCATGGATCAACTTCTCCTACTGTGAATTAGGATCACCCTTGCAAGCTGCTACTCGAGGGAACCGAGAAAGCACAATATTCCGATTGCTGGAACTGGACGCTAATGTCAACGTTAAGGGTGGCCCACTTGGAACACCGCTCCAAGCTGTAGCATGGAATGGAAATGTAAGAATTATGAACCTCTTGCTGAACCACGGAGCGGATGTCAATGTTGAAGGAGGGCTATATGGATGCGCTCTGAATGCTGCCATTCGGCAAAAACACACAGATGCTGTAGAACTATTGTTGTTAAATGGGGCGGACATCAATCAGTTCTGTGCGATCGATAACGTGCCCAGGGCCAGTATTACAAGCGCAAGGAATTTTTCCTACGGACTGCTTTCGAACGAAAACTTTTGCGAAACTCCTCTCAATAACGCAATCCTTACAGGGAACACGTCGATGGTTACCTCACTGCTAGGAGCTGGGGCTTGCTTGCTGCAGGATGACGAGAGATGCACAAGTGAGCTGCCGACGAACTCAATTCTGGTGATTCATTCCCTGTGCCTAGCCATTGTAATGGCAGACATCGACACGGTGAATATTTTGTTACGAAACGGAGCTAATTTGAAAGTTGGAATTTATTGTGCTTTAGTGCAAGCTGCATCTAAGTCCAGCTTTCCCATTTTGAAGCTCCTCTTTGATCAGACAGGGGATGATCCCAGCAGCATTATTTCAGCCGTACCAGATATTATTGCACACATTAAAGACGAGGGACTGGCCAGATGTCTTATTCCAATCCTCAAAAGAGTCTTTATCAAAGATAATTCGGAGTCACAACGCTATCTACTGAGTGCCACAGTCTGGAATGGATGCTTCAATTTAACGGAGTTCTTGCTCAAGTACGGTTTGACCCCAAATGTTGCAAGGCCGTACAGCGGTTCGAAGCCCTATACCACCTTCAAGGGAGTACCCCTCTCGTTAGCAATTCGTCATGGAAGGATGGATCTCTTCAATCTGCTGCTTGATTATGGAGTAGATGTAAATCTCGCTGACGGGACACCAATGCGTGATTGGAGGGAACCTTACCATGCGTATATATCGGGGAGCCCACTCTTCGCTGCTGTTCGTTCTCGCAACACAGAGATCGTGACTAGACTTCTAGCATTGGGCGCTTTGCCAAACAACGATAGTTGCTCTGGTGAAATATGTCCTAATGTTATTCACATTGCTGCAACCTACAAGGACCCAAGTATATTAGAGGACCTCCTCAAATACGGTGCTAATCCGACGGCGAGTTGTTTTACTTGCCCATCCGCATTGATGGCAGCAGTGAAGTCGCAGAGCCTAGATGCGATCCAGATACTTATCAGAGAAGGGGTCAATGTCAACACGCCTGATCTCTTTGGTCGCACCCCCTTGGCTCGCGCAAAGATTGATTGTCTTGAGCTTGCCACCAAAACACTTTCAGAACACCGAGCCGAAGAGGGTATAACATTAGAAAAACTCCGTTCCTGTCTGGAGGATGCGGTCCAATCTCTAGCTTCAAGGCTCCTGCAGCCTCCTCATCCTTGGTGGGGTTATAGAGTTTGGTTTTCCTACCTCCCACAGGGCCTTTGGATCGGCTTGGGAAAATGTTTGATCGTAGGAAAAGACATTCAAAATGGGGTTATTGCACTGGAACAGGCTTTGGAAGCCGTTGGAGATCGCTATCGCAGATATTGCTGCTACCATCCGTACTGCAGTTCCGGAGGTCCATGGGGAAGTTCCGAGTCGAACAAGTTGCAGCTTTGCGAGGACTGTGATCCAGGCGTATTCTGTGAAAATTGTATTGAGAGGCACCTAACCCTAGTTAGGAACTCAACATACAGTCACAGTGTAATAAAGTTACCCCGCAAGCTATTGTGCGACGTCCCAGAAGGGCACGTAGCTGTCGATGAGAATACCTATCTCCTAGTCAGGGTCTGGCTGGAAGGTCTTCGGGGCTGGACCGCAAAACTTTGATCAAATGAGAGTGAGGGCTAGGACTGTAACCATGCTATTACTTGCGATGAGATAATAAGTTGAAGGAAGAAACCTTGGTAAGTAGTGATCTCGAATCTCCAAAATCTGAATCAGGCTACTTAAACTTCTCTACTTGACGCTGATCAGAGAAAAGCTCCCAGGACGATAATTCCAGTTACTATGCAGACTACGAATATTATGAATACCGCAAAGTCTCGAATAACCGCCAGTCACAAGATCAGTGAGGCCATCCGCGTATTCAGGAAGGCGGAAGAGGATCCAAGAAATCTCGGATGACCTGGTCTATTCGCAATAATTGCCTGAAATGACATGACACTTGCCTTTTCCATTCTTGGCCCCAAAGACTCTAACTCACTATACTCGTACAACCCCCCTTTAAAGGGAAGTTCGAAAAGCGAATGTGCATTGCTTACCCTCCTCGTTCCTTATCCTTGCCTCACCCTCACCCACATCCGCACCACCTCACCTCTGCTTACTACCCCCAACAGCTCAAAACTCTTAGTCACCCTAGTGCCTTTGACATGGATTCTATTCTGGTATCCTATTTAAAAATGAACTATCTCACCTTCGCCTTTCCGGGGCTTGCTGTCTATCACTACTTGATGACTGCCTCGAATTGTCTTTGCATGGCTTCGGCACCTTTGAAATTGAGAATGACGTCCTTCTGACCAACGCTCAACAGATTATTTATAGGTGCAGGATGGATAAAGGGAGGGGATCTCTCTAATGCGGTATCACCAGGACCAAGTCCAACGAATCTCAACAGTTAGGTCAGTCGTCAAACAAGAGCGTTATCTCTATTATAGCTAATTTGTTTCCCCCAGAATACGCCTAGCATTACAGAACCTGCGAACGGAGCAGCATGCCAAACCACTGCTAACCTTGTAATCGAACCTTCGGCGGGTCGACATTCTTCAGCGACATCTCAATTCAGCAGCTCACGCTCCATTATACGAGTGCGACCAGTCATTCGGTAGCAAGCCCTCGAGCAGCATCTCAACTCACCAGCTCACATCTTCGAGTGCGGCGAGTGCGATTGGCCGTTCTGCAATCGGTAGACCTCGAACTCTCGCCCTCACTGCTTCAAAACACGATCGACGGTTTAGGTTATGGATTGCAACACTCAAAAGGAAATGCCGCCACAATTTCAAGTGATGCCTCCAGGAAATCGAGTCTGTCGGTTGGCGTTGGAATTCACACCTCGAAGAGTGACGCCCTAGTTTGGTCCTTTTCTAGGCCTGGAAAACGAGTTTCCCGATTAGACTTCATGGTCAATTAAGTTGGTGCAGGACGCTACAGCATTTCGAATGTATTTAACTAATTAAAGGATAGGCAGCTACATTGCTTGACAGTAACCACCTCGCCCCACAGTGATCACTTCCTAGGAATGGATCTGGACAGCCTCATGTGATTGCTTCGCTGTGGTGTTTAAGGCGAAATATTCGACTTTTAGAGTATGCTTTCACCCATTTGCATGAGATGAAAATAATCATGAGAGATGGGAGTACTGTGGAAAGAGTTGAGAAGGACATATTTGCTAAATATACAACTTAACTTCCATTAGTCAGGGGAAGCTGGTACGCGATGCTTTGTACAGAGATCCTATGTGCAGCACACTGCTGATAATGGCTCGAATCATTGAGAAATTGGGGCGCAGGGCTGTATTCAGTGAGCTATAATGGGCTAGGCCCCTTAACAAAAATTAACATTGGTACACAGTACACCCGGGCCCCTGATGTACTCCATATGTTGACTTGCTAACTTGGCGTTCAGCTGTGTCCACAGATTTTATGCCAGATAGGCTGATAGCCAATGGAAGCTCTTGGTGCTGCTGAATCCTCTGCTTCAGCAGCCTCCCTATCAGCCCTCCGTCATTCTCCTTAAAATTTCCTCCGGAGCAACGCGGACACAGGACTGTGGGGGCGCCAGCTTTCGGGCGACACACCTGTATAGATGAAACACTACGATACAGAGTTCTTTATATTTTCAACAACTGGCGGCTACATTGCCACACAATCAGTGAGAACAATTACTCTTTCTTCGGTGACTCCATAGATAATTCCCTTCCTATCAGTGCGACAGAGCCGATGGCGAAACCAATGACACGAGCGGTTTCCGGGCTGTTTCCGACTGATTGTACTCTAGTGCGGTGGAGAAGATTACGGCTGCCACGAGCAAAAAGGAACCATCAGGTAGATCCAACCCAAAGAAGGCTTTTTGTGAACTTCTTGGGCGATTGTCTGACTTAGTTTTGAAGTAAAGAAAAATGTGAGAGATGCCTAAGCCATGTCTATTATGGTGGCTCGAATTGTATTACATCTGATAGGCTGATGGCCCAGTGGTACAATACATTCTCCAAGAAACTCATACTATTGGCGAAATCGTGCTGGGTGCTGCAATTGGAAATATTTACTATCTGACTGTGGCATAAACAAGAAGACGCCCTAATTCCACCTGACCTTCTCCAAGACAGCAGGGTCATAGCCAGCTCTGTGAAGGGATTCCTGGTCTATGGCACCATCGACACACCTAGTTCCAACCCATCAAAAGAGACAGCTCTATACAATCTGGACTCCACATGGTCCAATATACACTCGGAACTTGCGTGTCGCCTCTCCTGATCGGCGCCTTGGTCAGCAGAACTGGCTGTACACGCCACCGACAGTGTTTGGCTCTGGCATTGCTGTTGTAGGAAGGGGGTTACCTGCAACACTGGCCGCGACATTTACCTGGGCATATTGGATTGGGTGTCAGGTCCTTGCTTCCTTCGTCGTAGAGATGGCTACTGCTCGGGGTTTCATTGCTATCGAGGTCGCGCTTGGGAAAGCAGCCTCGCCCATCGATATTACGGCCATGTTTGCCAGCCACAGTTTGGGTGAATCAATTTTCGTCGCAGGGGGAACGAGGTCTTGCAAGATTCTTTATTGAAAGCGGCATAAAGGGCCGGTTTGCATGGTATCGATATATCACGGGCAATGGGTACAAGGGCGACGGAATTTCAATTTCTGGTTCTGGCGGAGTATTTGCCAGCGGCACTCCAAGCATATAACTCATCTTCACAGAAGTTATTTAACTCCCTCGTCCCCCTCTTGGCTTTGTCGGTGGTGGCATCATGTTTCTGGGGTGGAAGAAGATAGCAGTTGCAGCAAGCATAAGTGAGGCTTCATTGTCAGCTAGGGATGGCAAATGAATCAGTTAAGCTTTCCAATGATACAATGGCTTAATTGAACATACTCTTTTGCTAGTCTCTTCAAGGTCATTCAGGTGTTGTGGCATTCTTTCCTTGAGAAGCCAATAGTCTTCCTTTGTTCTCAGGGGTGCGGGGTAAACTCGCTTCGGGTTGCCCTATTTTAAGCGAGAACTATGTTATCTCGTATTCCTAATTTCCTCCCACCTACTCTGGAGCAAAACATACAAGACACGGAGCGATGTTGATGGCTTCCTCTACAACAGCTCAGATACAATTTCTTCTTACTTAAACTGATCACAATTAATGGGAAATAGCTCTAAAGAAACGAGTAGTGAAATTAGTCCAAAAAAGTCCCTGAATCCTGTGGAACTCGCAAAACTGCTTGTTCGCGCTACATGCAAGGAAAAAGCAACTCTTGTTAACAGCCTAAACGTCAATCAAATCCACTAGACTCTCGCTTGATTCGACAACTAGCCCAGCATGACAGGTATAGTAAGCGCTGTCCCGTTTGCGGGTATGGCAGCCATAAAAGCAGCAACGTCACCTGTGACCCGTGCCACTGCCCGGTCAATCCTTCTCTGCTGGGCTACAGTGGGTGTTATCCTCATGCCCTGGCCCCCATTGGAATTAGTGATGAGATGAATAAGAGCTGCTTCCAGCCACCAACTCAGTGTCTGGCCAGGAATGATATTCGGATTCCAACCAGTCGGCCTGGGGCCCGGATGAACTCCACGAGGACTCAACAGCCGGATACGTGTGAGTGCAGTGAACACGTTGTTCTGCGGCAATCGTAAAACCATGAAACTGTTTGTGTCGAGGAGCTCAGCTGGTGGCATTTGACTGTTGAAATGCCCAATTGTCTGGATGAGATTAAAACCCCGTAAGTTTCTGTGAGGTACTCGGAGCCGAACTCGATGTAGGCGAACATAATCCCACAAAGTGAAGAAAGATTGGTAGTCAAAGAACAGTGTGTCTTGCGTCGCGTTGAAATGAATTGGTAGCTGTCGATTTAGCTGAAGTATATCGGGGTGACTGCGATAATACTGCTCCCAAGCCTCGCTATTCACGCGAAGGATATGAGAAGGATTCCGTTCGTGACACCTGTAGGTCCACACGATTTGCCATGGTTTTCTGGGGTTTTCTCTCCGAAGTGTTGGTGCGCGGTCGAAGCAAACTTCAATAATATTCTCGTTTCCTGCGCTGGCTGCTATGTCCCAAACCATTCCTCTGATTTCTGGGGGAAGATTGGGGAACTTGCCGAAAGAGGTCAGAGGCGCCATCGCGGCCGCCGTTGCTGTCGCAGTTGCCATTGTGTTCTATGCGAGGGGTATTCGATTAGATCGGGTGGTTGTTGGGAGGTGAAATTCCCAAAATATGAGCTTGGTGGATATTTTCGGGAGAGTTTCTTTATGTGGCTTCTCATAAAGAAACACTTATGTGCCGGAAACAGAAGGTTTGCAACCACAGCGGAAGAACAAGGGGAAGTTACTTAATTCCCCTGCTCAAAGAAACTCAGAATGGATGCGCCGCATTTCATGTAGTGCGCGCGCCAATCGTGACCTTCCAAAAAGACAAAGCTCTATTAAATCAATGTCGCGCTCAAAAGCGCGAGCCTAGTTGGGGACTTCCTGAGCTTGCCGTCGGGAGTAGAATATCAAGAGAAAAGTTTGATACAGCAAAGAGGTTCGCTGATACCGCTCTAGCTATCGGGGTCAATTGCGGAAGGTATGTGAGCATTGGTCGGTTGTCGCTCGTTGGTGTCCTAGAACAAAACTTCAAGCTCGGGTTGCTCCCGTGGGAAGATTATTCAAATCGGTTTCGTATTTTACTTGCGGACATATCTGAAAATTCTATTGCCGGGACTGCAGTCGAGTGAAAGGAATCGGGTGCATCGAAAGGTGTGAGACGGTGGGATCGTCCTCGTTGCCTTCCCATCGAAGAATGTGGGGGCTGTAGTACAGTACATTCCTTAATGGCTACGATTGAGTTAGCAAATGGTCGAGAAATGATCGGTTTATTGGACTTACCTTTCGGGTCATTGAGGTTTCCTAGAGGTTCGATCAATTGGGGCTTTTTATTCTGTCATTGAACTGGAGGGGCACGTTGTGCGGGTACAAACTCTCTGACGATACGGCTTATGTTGGGGCCATGCCAAAATCGTGGGAGTTCATCTCCGAACTCGTAGGGGAACAAGGGGAAATTAGAGGGGTTGTGCTTGATAGGTGTATTTCTCTAATTGGTGTTGATCTGGCAGGCCAACCCGCTGGTAGTGGAGGGGAGGGTTCTCGCATTGTAGTAGGTGGTGGCCCAGGTGGTGGGCTTCTGCCCACCTTGCCGTCATGCCTACTTTGTAGCCGAAAATAGTGACCGGAGAGAGGTCCCGGTATTCCGGGCCACATATGCATAGACACAGGCCATCCTGGCTCAATCACTGTTTCCCAAACACGAGGGAGAATAATTCCCCCCTTTGGTCCTACTAGATCGTAGTGGCTCTCAGCAACATCTGTACTAAGACCTTCAACATGGAGAAACGCTTACCGGATGAATTCCTCCATTCCCTACAGTCAGGTAAGTATGGTATGCCCCAGTTGGAGAAGGATTAACAGTACTCACAACCTAAGTGACACATAATTCGAACGGGAAGCTGGATTTCCTCCCAACCGCATCAGTGAACTTGACAGGCTGCTTATCGACTCCCTGGGACGCGAGTGCTTTAGTTAATGTATCAGCAAGCTTTTCGTCCTTACACAGAGTTTCAGCTTCACTTGCATCATCGGGGTCGTGGTCTGGATGATCGCTATTTGAACGTATCTTCGTATACTGGCCCCCAGAGTCTGCGGTCGGTTCCTTCGCTTCTATTTTCATGCGCACGCGTCCAAATAGTGGGAGGTTCTCGTCATCGCAAGTCGTGGATCGTTTTAGAGACCTTGGCCCGCTGTTTGGCACAAGATCGGGCATTTCATGTTCAGTGCCATCCCCCAGAGCGATCAATTGAAGGCGTTTAGATCAGCGTCGTTGTGGTGTTACAGAGATAGAACCTCTGTATACCGTGCCCCCCCCTTTTTTTTAGCTAATGTGTTTACTTAGCACTCTCTCAATAAATGTCAGATAGAGGGCTTGTCTCTGGGGTCTTCATCGTGCGAGAGATTTGGGCCTGCGCTCTTTTCATAGTTATGGCATCTCGGACAGCAGGAAGTAATGTCTTTTGGGTATTGAATATCATGGCTCGTAGCGACATGCTGGCCAGGAGCAAAGCAAGTCTCGCACGGCGATGCTAGGTCAATATCCACCTTTGCTGATTCGTCGTGAATACGAAGATCACGGCATAAAGTGACGGGACTACAGGGCATTTAGACTCGCTTGGGGCGCTCAGTGGACTACAGCGTGCAAATTGAGGGGTTAAGCCCGCTATAAGGCCTTATAACTCCAGGCCTCGTGCCCTGGAGTAGAGTGTAAGACATTTGCAGGGCTATCGGAAGATGCTCAGGGGTTCTAGCGCTGCTGGCGGAGCAACCATAGCGCTCGGACGCTGTGAGGGTGGTAATTATAGGGTACCTTAGCGAACCTTCCCCTGTAAGTACAGGGATATGCCTTAAAAAGGTGTGGTACCCCTTGCTTGCGGTTTATAGCGTTCGTTCAGGGCAGTGACCTGGAAATATAGGGGGCTTTAGTGGTTGAATCCAGCAGAAAGTGGCCTGAAAGTGGACTTGTAGTTCAAATGCCCTGTAGTCCCGTCACTTTATGCCGTGATCTTCGTAGTAAACTCTCCATATTCTATCTTCATCGCACTTGGACCAACGCTCTGAAAGTTTGGATCGAAGAACGGAAGTCAGCACCTGTTGAGAACCATTCTGAGTTGGTAAGACAATATATACTGAAAGAAAACCTACACTAGCAGATAGAATAAATTCTAGGTAGAAAGTCATATGTCTATTTAGTGCATTGATAAAGTAGACGGGCTGTTGTCGCTGGACTTGTGCCGGGATTTGTGTTGTAATGTTCTGAAGATTGAGAACCACCAGAGAGATCTTGACATTCGTTTGATTGTTCATAGAATCAGCCACTGTGCTAAACTTCCAGAGACAAATTTTCTTGTGATCTCCCACTTACGTGATGTTTGCAGTCATATCCAGCAGTTGTCTTCCCTGTTCGATTCGGCTATGAAAAATTGAGGATTTCGACTACCATGTTGAGCTGCAAAAACTAACCTTGAATTCCCTTAACTATGACACTCATTCTTTTCACGCATCCGAAATACGACTCCTGCACCTTTCCAGCTATAGTTTGATGACGCTGGTGGTTCCTCCTGTCGTCAATTCTCGTTGCTCCTCTAGTGCTCTATCAGCTTTTCTCACGCTCCGACACACACATCCGCAGCGTGGTGAGCAGCATTTGAATGCTCTCTGTATGCACAACCAGATCCAATTTGAACCTCGACAAATCCTCCTTTTTACACAAGGCCCACCTGATTTTCATCCATCCATCCTTAACCTTACCCCACTCCCATCTGCCTTCAGACTAGGCTGGTACTTCTTAATCTTCTCCCAGAATGCATCAATAGTCTTCTGGCACTGCACGGCACCCTGCGCAATGCGGCGACCCCCCCTGTTGCGCATCGTCAACCTCGAGGCAATTTACGCTTTCGAGCGCCACCTGGAGGGTTTCAAGCTGGGCCACAAGCGACCTGAACTCAGCGAAAGACTCCCCGCTCTCGCACAGGGCGTCGATGCCGGTCGCGACCAGCTCAAGCGCGGAGATGAAATTGCTGACTGACATTGCGAGGCCGGAATGGGGGCGTCCGCATCAAGATCAATTGCGGAGTGGAATCCGCTCTTGAAAATATGGGAATTTCAAGAGTGTTGGAACGAGGCTGTGTTACTGTGTATGCAGGCGTGAAGGAGCGGCTTGCTCTGCACCACATGGGATTGAATACGCCTGGTGAGGCTGACCACATGTATTTGCAGCGAGTGAAATTCTTTCAAGTGCAAAACCTGCGACCATTCCCATTTGATTTCAGTGAAAACACTCAACATCTGGGAGAAAGGTTTGAGCCGTGTAATATGCTCCAACCGAATTTTGAATATTCTACTACCCCGCGAAAGTCCACATCACTGTTTCTATCTTCCCTGTTTTCCCCACTCCTGGAAAAGGAAACAAAAGTCGGACTTGTGAACAAACTGGGAGAGGGAAACTCTCCACACGTTCTGAGACACGCAAACACAAGACAGAAGAGAAAGTGGGCAAGGCCGAGGGCGGGATATCTATAATGCTGTTCTACTCGAAACACATCAAAACTTCATTTGTCCCTAAAGGTCAAGCTTCTCAAGGATGAAAGCAATAACACATTAAAGACCGCAGGCCAAAAATTGAAGTGGAAGCTCGAGAACTTTCATTAAAGGAAAAGAACGGAGACAAAAAAGGGGGAAATATTTGGAGAGGAAATTTGCAACATATCCTCGCTTCATCTTAAACACCTCCAAAACTTCAGACTGCTCAAATACATGTGACAATACATTAAGTTCTACTTAGTTTCCACCATTAATGTTGTTTCAATACACATCGGGCGCAACATAAAGGCTTTAAATCGGTTTGGAGTGCACATCGGCAGGAAGTAATAGCTGGCAGTTGAACCTGTCCAACTACGACAAACTTTTTGCACAAGACAAAACAGAACAGCGACACCAAGCACTGTTTTAACCATATATCAAATCAACATCGCAGCTCCACCAATCGCAACCATCAACCCCGCCGCAAACCCCGTCTCCCTCGCAATAGCAGCCGCCAACGCCTTACTACTACTTGACTTCACACTCGTAGTAGTCGGTAGCGCCGTCCCCCCCGACGCCGAAGTGGTCGAAACCAGAATATTACTCGTAAATGGCAAATTCGTGACACTGCTCGCACTTGCAAAGACCGGCATTTGCGTTGCCAAACTCTCCACGGGCGTTCCCGAAGATGACGGATTCAGCACGTTGTCGACGACATGCAATACCCCATTTCCAATCATGATGTCTGGGGCTAGGAGCTGAGCGGAGTTGATGAAGATCGCGTTGTTGCCTGTTCGGCTTACGGTCAATTTACCGCCTTCGATAGTGGTGAACTCGGTGTTATTTTCGAAGGACGTGGAGTAGATAACTTCGTTCAGGGTGTGGAAGTCCATGATTTTTGCGAGGTCGGAGGAGCTCATGCTTGTGATTGCGGAGCCTAGGGCTTGGAAGGCTGCGTTTTGTGGCGCGAAGATGGTGAGGTTTGCGGTGGTGGAGTCTTTGGCAAGCACGTCTGCGGCATAGAGTGCGCCTTCGAAGGAGGTGAAATTGTATTCTTGGCAGGTGATGGTGATGTTTCCAGGCGGAACGAGGAGGGCATCGATGATTTGGACGACGCCGCCGGTGAAGGGGAGGTCGCCCTGGACGAGGGTGCTTCGGCTGCCTTGGCCGCCGACAAGAGCGACTACGTTCCCCCCTTGTTTGAGGATCTCAACTCTCAGACCGCCAGTGATATTAGTCCAGCTGGGTAGAAGTGTATCTGTGAAGACAGGGGTGCCAGCGACCAGGTTTCCGGCTAGTACTTTAGTTTGGAGCATGTGATACTGGAGCACACTGGTGATGAAATCGGGTGAATTCTTGACGAATTGGTCGTTCCTGACGAATGCGGCATTGTTTGGAGCGAGAACCTAATGAGAAACGCGATCAGTTCCCATTCCTTGCCCGAAAGCTGTTCTGGTGAGATAGTTACCGTAGCGCCAGAAGGTAACCCTTTTATGATATCGGGATATTTCTATTGCAATGAAGTCAGCAATTATTCTCACGTAAATGCGCAACTGATAACATACCTGTACTAGAGAATAAAAGGTTGACAGGGTCTTTTCCCCAGAAAGAACCGAATCCAACGTTTGTGCCTGCAACCCCGCAGCAAACAAGCTTGTAGCCAACAGGCTTCTCCAACTAGAATTTCTCATCTCTCCAGGATGTCTGATTCTTGAAAATTATAGTTAAAAGAGTGAAGGAATAGATAGACCGAGGCTGGTTGTCGGTCTCACAAGGATTAACAAAGTATAATAGAGACAGTAAGTGCTCGAAAGCCAATTAATCGACCAGAATTCTGAAGACAAAGATGACAGTGAAAAGGTTTCGAAACGGAGAGACAGGATGGGTTAACGACTTTTGAGGGATCCAGATTCCATACCCAGAAATTTAAGATTTTCTTTCCCAAGCATTGGGTGCGGACAAGGTTCATCAGCCCTACTCCCGTCTTTCAGCCACAAACGGACGGGAAGATCTGATTGGTGGAGTCGGCCGAAGAAAATAACCGAATCCCCTGCAAAAGCATTCGCTTACGGCGGTGCTGTCTTTGGTAGGGCTGCGATTGGTCCCCAGCTTTCATTAAACATGAAATTTAAATTAAAGGAGAGGAAGAAGTTGGCAACACTTGCAGGCTAGCCGAATATCGCCTCCTGTTCCTCGCCTCGTGAGCACTTACACGCATGTGGTAGGCGATGACAAGGTCATGGCGGGGGAGATGTCTTGGCTTCCCAGAACAGCAAACAATGGGACTTTGCGGAAGGAGGCTTGAGGGACCCTTGCCTCATCCCCAATGTGCACCCGAAATCCCTTTCTCAGATAACCTCACCAGCAGACGCCTTGAAAACCGGCCATTTTCGGCTATAGTCGGTCCGATACAATAACAGCAAAACGTCCCGCCTTTTACGCCTATAATAACCTTTTAATTATAACCTAATTTAATTAACACGATTGAGTAAGATTATAGAGTAGAATTAGGCAAATAAAATATATTAATTCAATTTTGAATATAATTCGTATTTAATTAGTAATTATATTTTAAAATACATAAATAATTTATACTTTTTTTTTTTATTTTTTTTATAATAAATATAATTTAATATCCTAAAGAGAAGTCAGGTGTGGCGTGAGCGGCCGGAACTAAATATAATGAATATAGTCACGTGAGACAGTACGTGACTAGTATATAATTACTATATAATTATTTAAAATTATTTAAAATATAAAAATATTTTAAAAAAGTTATATATACTTAAATAAATAATATATTAAACTTATACTTATTGTAACGGCGCTGGCTGGGGGCCATATGGGGGTGGCTGTCACATGACTGGTTTCACCTAGCTAGCCGGCGTTTCAGTGGTTTTAGCTAGTATTTCCCTTCTTTTATTCCCTTTCCTTCTCTCTCTCTCTCCTTCTTCTCTTTAGCTTAGTATTTTTAATACATGAGATTCTTGGATCTTTGAGCCCTGGCTATTGCCTCGATCCCGCCGTTATACTTATAAGGCCCTTTAAGTTTTTAATAAGCTTTTAATATATAATATTATATAGTAATTATTAGCTAGTTATATAAACTAATTTTATATAATAATATTTATTATATTTAGCTTTAATTATTCGCGTTATATTTCTCTTTCTTTTATACTTTATATCAAGTATTAGAAGATATAAAAGATATATAAGTATCTTTTATTTGTATTATAGTAATTATAAAACCCTAGAGAGAATTTATTATAACTTTTTAAATCCGAGGGAATGATGCTAAAGGTTCTCGCTTAGCGAAATTGCCGGTTTTCAAAGCCGTCCACCTTCGTACCAGGTATTTGTCTACACGATACCAAAAGCTGCACATGAAGGTACCCGCTGCCTCGGAACCTCGCTCCATTCTTAGTCTACGATCATCTCCTCTTTCCTCAACCTCGAAATTTGGTCCAGAATCGAACCAACATCTCCCCAAATCCTCTTCCTATTCCTCAACCACTTCAACTTCGCCTTCTTAATCTCCTTGTAGAGCAAATGCCAATTCGTGTACTCCCTCCCCAACATCCTCCCCACACTCTCAGCCCTCCTCTGCGCTTTCTCCTTCGCGTCCATCCCCACAAACTTCGGTTGCTGTTTCTCCCACTCCTCTAGCGCCTCCGGTATCTCTTCCTTGACAATGTGCCTCCTGACCGCTTTGTAATTTTCGTATTCTTCCCTTTCTTTAATTTCTCGTTTGAGATCCACGGCTTCAACCGCCGTCCAGAGATTCGGCGTATGCTCACTGTACACCTCCCACAGCCAAGGCATCTCCCTCCTCAGCAAAGTATACCAAAGACTCATCGGCAAGTCATGGAACGCTCTACTGGCAAGTCTCAAAGCTGCAATTTCCTTCGAGTCCAGATAATCAACAACGTGTTCCCTCATCTCTTGCGGGAGGGTGAGGAACGGGTCCTTCTTCGCTGTTTTTCCTCTCTGGTCCAGGGGTTGGGAAGGCAGAGGGGCAAACGCCGAGCTTCGTGGACTAAAGCTTGAGTCTGTCGCGACTGCAGACTCGAGGATGGGGATCAGACCAGGTATATACAGTGGGTTAGCAGCCAAGTATTCGTCGCCCGTTCGGTGTGCCCAAAACTGCTGAGCCGCACTTTTAACATTCGGATCACTCGAAAACACCCCCCTTTCCATAATATCCACATCCGAGAACTGGATATTTCGCCACGAGATCAAGCCGTGGATATCTATCCTCCCTAGGTGGTGGAGTGAGAGACGAGTAAAGATGTCGAAGCAAGCGGGGTGGAAAGGCATTGCAACGTCCCTCTGACTATTATGCCTTTGCTGTCGATTTTCATTTCTGTCAGGAAAGGGGAAAGTGGTGGTGGCCGGGGGAGGGGGCACAAACAGGAAAGTAATACGTATCAGCTTCTTCCTGATCCCACCCATGTCTCTTTGGCCAAACCGTGGGGCATTCCATATCCCTACTCGGAAACATATCTCCAACCCCAGTCAAAAAGACCTCACTCGTCCCCTCCCATACCTGATCGTCGGATTCGGGAGTCCAGTGATGTTTCTTGAAAGCAAGACATTGGTAGGTGGTACATCCTTTCATCTCTGATGCGCAGATGTTGTGCCCGTTGTATCCCCTATCGTCGAGGCACGTGGCGCTTGCAATGTGCTCAAGTCCTACCGGAGAAAATTCTTGCTCTGGTCCGAATTTCGACTTTTCGCGTTCCCAGATAGAGGACTCGAAGAGGAGGCCTGCTGAGTTGTCGATGAGGTAGAACATTTCCTGGCCAAGAGGTTTAACCTCCAATGGCATCAGGGCGCGGAGGAGAGTTAGGTAGTCTTCGCAGGGGGATTCCTCATCGCAATTCCCAGATAGCTCATGGATCTCCATATCACTCAGCTCGTCCCTCGAGCCATATTCCAGCGGCTCATCATCCTCACTCCCCTCTTCATCCTCATAATCACCATCCTCCTCCTCAACATACCCTTCCCCAAACGCAAAAGCAACATCCTTCACCCACACCCCCTCCCAGTGTTCCCGCCTCTCACTCCTCATGGTCACACAACAACCTGTCCCTGAGGAGCAAGCACGTGAAGAAGCCATCTCACCACTGACGAACGTCCCCTCGCTCGCTACTTCATTTGAAGATTGCCATGCTGCTTCCTTCGGCTCGCCGACGCAGCGAATACGAGCTATGCTAAAGGAGACGCCGCAGAGGTGGCAGACTACCTATTCACCGGTCAACATTTGTGAAGATCAAAGGCAGGCTGGAGCCTAGCGGGTACATGCCTCTGAGTACCCTGTGATTTATGTTAGAATTGAGGGAGGTGGGGACTTGTGAGGTGGAAGCCCACTTACCCATCTCTTTATTGGTGTTTTGAGAGAATGGAGGTGAGCTTGATAATTGTGTGTTGAAGAGGTTTAGGTGTGAGATATTTGGGGTTGCCCCGCCCGCTTGCGCCGCCTGTAGGTGTTTGATCGATGGCAGTGGGGTGACTTGCAGGGATTAGGGCACGCAACCGATGCCAGCTTATCCAAGAGTTTCTCCTTTTGTTTTCAAAAAGTGTTCCTGCTTGGCGTAAGGTTGAAATTATCCCCTTTCACCTCACCATAATGCACGTCTCCCAGTTCGCTCTTCAAGTCTTCGAGGCTTGACTTTAACAATCATTCAATCAGCTTCCAAGGAATTGACTCAGTTGGACTGACTTCATCTCTATTAATTTTGGTAAGGGAGACCTGGAACCCGAATGGCGGGGAACGCGGCCACTGAAACGTAGATCTTTCATTGTATCTACAGAAGCATAGCATCGCTTCCAGCTTCATCATCTAACAAATATGCATCGTCTTCATCCCATCCACTTCCGAAAAGCATTTCCTCCGTCTCACGCTCAACAGATAATCTCTCACGCTCCTCCATATACTCCAATAAGTCATCGTCATCCCTGGAAAGTAGATCGTCAAACTCATCGGCGTCATCCTCATCAAAGTCGTCACGTTTTGTGGCCACTTGATCTCCCATCTCGTCTGGCTCTCCCATTGTCTCGAGTAAATCGGGACATTCATCCTCCTGGACTGGATTATCCTGCAGCGAGGTCTTCCTCCATATCTTCGCGGTATCGGACGGGTCGTATAATTTCCTTTGCATCATGCCCCATAATCTCGATTGCACGACCGCTGTTAGTCGCGCCGTTGCTCCTTGCCCCCAATCTTCAATCCGGCTTTCGTTTGTTAGTGACGAAGTACGAGAATGTTCTAATCTGAGGAGTTTCTCTCTCAGAGTTGGTGATTGAATATTTCGGGGCCAAGAGACAGAGATGGCATGGGATATTGATAGAAGGAAATGGGCGTTGTGTGCCATGGACTGTGGAACATTCCTTTAGCTAGAGGATGAAAAGTGGAAGAAAATCGTACCTCTTTGAACCCTGGACAAAAAGTAGAAGGTGCTAGGCGGGCCAATGACAAAATGGGAGGGGGCTTCTCGACCTGGATGCCGCCAGGTCCTCGTAAGCCACGACTAACGTACCCGCTGGTCAATATATGAATTGCGGCTTCTCCAAGGTCGCAAGCTTTTAACTTGTCCAGTAACACCGTATCGTCATCTGGAGATGGACGCTTGAGTGCCAGCTCTTTCTCGCCGGTAGAGAGAGCAGATGAAGCAACGGAGGAGGATTGAGATGTGAGAGAAGGCGTATTGTCGGTGGCTGGTGAGAATAGCATGTCATCCTCCTCCCGATCAACCACTTGCCGTGCGGATGCACCGTCTTCCCCCTGCGCTAGCAGCATTTGGTCTTCGGGGACTGCACAGTCTTTTCGGATCTTTCTTCGTTGATACTTGAACCAATTTTTGACCTGGGCTAAATCAACGTCAGCAATTCCTACTGGAGACGCAGAGTCAATCAGACCCACTGCTCCTTAGACCAGTCCTGTTCATAATTTCCACTGTCTGTGTATTAGAAGGGTGCAAGTTGTCTCTATTCGCCTGGAGCCATGCATTCAAAATTTCAATTGTGGCCGTTGGGTGCCGTGTCCGCCCGTTCTTGCTTCCACTAACCTTCCCATTTTGCTCAATAATATAATGTCCTAGCCCAGTTATGGGCGGATCTTGATGTTGTGTCGAGTAAGGCAAAGGAGACTTCTGAATAATACCAGGCTCGTCCCAAATCTCCAACTTTGGTTCGAAGCATCGTGATATTACGGTGGGGAGGTCTCCCATCCTTGCAACGGCATGGACCAACTCATCCACATTCCCATGTCCTTTCAAACTCGGAGCAAGATCCAGCAGCATCTCTTCCTCGATATCAAATTGTTCTGCATTGGTCTTGACCCTTTTGATAGGTTTTGTCTTCTTTCGAATCTCGAGAAAATCGAACTGGATTTGCATCCTTTCGAACTCGGCACAAAGGACGCTATCTGGGGGCTTGATATCGAAAGTATCCAGTACCCATGCTCGATGTCGGGTTGGTGGGGTCGGAGTCTGCAAGCCATGGTTGACATTGATCGAGAGGCCAGGTACCGAGTCCACCGTGCCATCGCCCCGCCAAACATCAAGAGAAGCCGACAGCGATAGTAAAGACCAAAGCTTCCAAGATCAGCAGAAGCCATGTAGCAAGGAAATGTCTTAACTTACTTGAGCATCACGAAGTCGGTACCCCAAACTCTCCAGGAGGTTGACACGCCCATCTTTGTCCAATGGCTTACCGTTGAGGAGAACCTGAACGTCGAGACGGCATGCTACGCCACGAGATACCCACAAACTTCCTGATGTCAGTGCTTTGACGAGCGCAGAGTCTTCTAGGCTGGAGATGCTCCGTGGAATCCGAATGTCAGCGGCAGAGACGACGGACAGCTTCAGAAGGTGGTCCGGAACGGTCAGATGGAGTGTGTCAAGTTCCAGGACCCGCCGAGACATGATTTTATTGGATCATAATTGATTGCAGAAGAAATTACTCGGAATGGGAGCCATTGAAGTGCCGAAGATTGAATTAAAAGAAATGGAGGAAATGGAATATGGCCACGGAATCTGGAGAAGAAGCTGCAGAGGAGAATGTCAATCTGAGTTGTTAGTTGAATATAGCAGAAGATGCGGTCTTGATAGACCGGAGTGAAGATCGCAGAAATTGAGGACTTGGACGATGTTGAAGTTGTGATCGAGAAGAGCGAGGTCGTGAGTTTGATGTTCCACCACCGCAATTCTGCCGCCCCACACCTGCGTCGAAGCCCCCAGCTCGCTCCTTGATTGGCCTGCACCACTTCTGTGGACTATCAATTCCACTTCAAGGTCCCGCCAGCACGCGAGCACGCCAGAGGCAGTTTGATGACGCTGTTTTGCCGCTGCCGTCCAGCCGAGAAGAACGTCCGCTCAGCGATAGCACGCACACGACCACCTCCGCTCTCGCAACCACCTCCTCCTTCCTCCACAATGGCGCTCAGCAACGTCGGCTCCCTTGTGTTGCACCTTCTCATATTCATCACGACCTTGGTCAACTTCAGCTATGCTCTGACCTCCCTCGAGCCGTTGATGCTACTTGCTCTCTACGCCATCTCCAAGATCTTCGTCACAGCACCAGAAGAGAGCATCTTCGCGAAATGTCAACATCGCAACCTCTACGAGCCATATCAGGACGGATGAAGCGAATGCCCCCCGAGAACGGCTACGAATCTCCCCGCTCGCCAGGCAACGAAGAGAGCTTCGTTGGCAATGGCATTGACAATGGCACACACAAGGCTGGAGAAAGGAGGAGGGCTGGCAGAAGTGGGCAGGCATTTGTTAGGGGACAAAGTCCAGAGACGCAAGATCGCGTTGGCAGAAACGATGCAGATTTAGGAAGGGAAGAGGAAACGGAGACGAAGAAGGTTGGGATTCGTGACCGCCTGGGATGCTACACTTGGACCTGGTTCACAATGACCATGGCGACGGGAGGGATTGCCAATGTTCTGCACTCCAGTAATAGACAACAATGCCTACCCAGTATTGCTTCTGACTACTTGCAGTTCCTTATCGATCTGAATGGCTGAGGATACTGGGCGTGATTGTGTTTCTGTTCAACATACTTCTTTTCTCAATCAACTGCTTTTTTATTACACTGCGGTTCAAGTGGAACCCAGGATCATTTCAAAGATCCTTCACAAGTCCTTCTGAATCTCTTTTCGTTCCTGCTTGTGTGAGTGCCTTTCCCCATCCCGGACTGAAGGCAATACTAACGGAGCCCAGGTCGTGTCGTAAACCCCTCCGGCTCAGGGAGCATTGAACGAAGGCTGATGAGGATGCAGAATCGGCACAATTCTCACCAATATGTGCCAATATGGCATTCCAGCAACCGGACAATGGTTTCAAACTGCCATGCAGGTTTGTTTCTGGGCATACTTCTCGTTGAGCGTGATTACAAGCTCCGGAATGTACCTCATCGTATGGTCTACTCAGTCAGCTCACACACAACCAGCATACGCCCCCAACCTTCTGACGCTGCAACAGAACTTTCCCTATACACACAATGACACCAATCTGGATTTTTCCTGCTTATCCCCTTCTCCTCATGGGACCAATTGCTGCAAACCTCATCGACGCCCTCCCCGACTCCGGCGCAGCCGCAAGAATCAATTCCATCGCAATGGCCCTCGGAGCAGTTTGTATTCAAGGAACAGGATTTCTTGTCAGCTTAATGATATATAGCGCGTTTATCTACCGACTTATGACGCAAAAGCTTCCTCGGGAGACAGCCCGGCCAGGAATGGTACATCTCTTCCTCACACTGCGCCTCTCCCTTGTCTTCGACACTCTCGCTGATTACCACAGTTCGTCTCTGTCGGGCCTTCCGGCTTCACAGTCGCAGGTATCGTCCATCTCGGCAACACTGTCATTCCGAAAATCATGCCAAGCGGGTACCTAGGCCACTCCGATGCAGCCTTCTTCCTTAAATTACTTTCAGACTTGACAGGCCTCTGGCTCTGGGGACTCTGTCTGTGGTTCTTCCTCGTCAGTATCGGTGCTCACTGGCAGATCATGCGACCCAATGACCCAGAACACCACATTCAATTCGACATGACTTGGTTCTCATTTGTCTTCCCAAACACCGCTCTAGTTACCGCAACCCAAGCCATCGGCAAATCCCTCGAGTCGGACGCAATACAGGTCTTTGGTACTGTGATGGCTGGTCTGCTGGTCCTGGTCTGGATCTTTGTGTTCTATATGATGATTCGGGCCCTTTTCATGAAGAGACTACTTTGGCCGGGGGAGGTCGATGGGCCGGTGGCTTTGGGGAAGAGGTGGAAAATATATAGGGGTGCGAATGGCCATGTAGAGAAGGAGAGGGATGGGGATGGTGTTGCTGCTTAACATTGAGATATTTTCAGGTATTATTACCTCTCCTTCAACTAGAGGACTGTCGCAACTTTTTATGAGAAGATATACCCAAACAATATATTACATAGGCACCTACTGAAATTGTGAAGAAACACGTAATTACGGTCATGGTTCGTGGTCTGATGATGAACAAGGTAATTTGTTGTGAAGTCATCCCCACATATCATCTTCCTTAAACAACCACCAGAACTGTCTTTCATGTCTCATAGTTGTCTTCACTAATCGAAATGATCATGGCAATCAAAATGGACGTTGAGCAGAAAAGTCTGCATAGCGCATAGCAAGCCCAAACTTCCAGTTCCTCAACAACACTCTACCACATCTATCACCAGGCTACCATACCACATCTTACTCCCTCCACACAGTCCCCGACTCTCACACAACGCTCCAGTTAACGCCTTCCCCATTCTTTCCAGCAGCCGCGAGGAGCAGGAGCGAAGCAATCAGCAAGATCCCATGGAATTCTCCTTCAAACAGCTTCCCACTTATTCGAAGAACAACAACATCCCTCTCGAAGACATTTATCTCTCCTTTAACGAAAGCACAAAAGGCTAAGTTGCTCGACAACCCTGACCACGACCCATGCTGCACTGGCGGAACCCCCCCTACTTTGTTCATCTTCCAACACATGTAGGGCACTCACCACCTCACACTTTACAACGTGGAGGCACGAAACGGGCTTCGGTGGTGTGACTGATGTATTCTTCGTTTGGGTTTGGATAGAGGAGCTGGAAATTGGAGATGTTGGGGGCATTGACAAGGAGAAGGCTAAGGTTCAGGTTGAGGATGTTGTGATAATGAGATGGGGAAAGCCCCTAAGCTTCTATACGAGGGAATACCGCTTTTCATAGAGGGGCTTCTGATTTATCTAGAAGGGGACGTGGAAAGTGGACTCGGTTTTGAAGAGGGGTTTTAGACCGTTCTTGAGGCTGTGGAATTTGAAGTGCGTTGTGCTTGTGCTAGACAAGGGGGAGGTGGTTTTGGCGAGATTTACTTCTGTGGCTAGTAGAAGGTAGGGCGGGTTGGAGGTTTTTGGGGATGTTGCTGACCGATTTTTGCCTGAGAAAGTGATTGGGATAGAGAAGCCTGCTAGACAGGAGAAGGAGGAATGAATTGAAGAAGAAGAGAGCAAGGCGTATACCGAGAAGTAAGAAGGTTGAAAGATGATATTGGAACAGGGGTATGTATGGTTATTAGGGAGTGAGCGAAGAGGCATCTAGCAATTAGGGTTATTGAAAATTTCTTAGGTAGTCTCATTGAATCTTAACCTCCCTTCCTTCTAAGTTCTAACGAGGTTAGTCACCATCGTTGCTCTGCTTGGGTGCTACTTACCCTCGCCTTACCCTCTGCACAGGTTAATCAGCCACCTGCCTGACCCTATTTTCTACTAACTAATTATAATTTACTTCGTATTTGGCTCTGCCGTGTGAAAGTTATTAACTCTGTATACCTATAGTTAGGGGGACTATGCCGGCTCCTAAGGGACCCAAATAGGATCCCCCCAAAAATATATCGTTTACTTTCAAGGCAGAGGCTTCTGATACTATAACGTCGTTAGGTTTTTCTAAGGAGAATATGCCCTCGCGCCTCCCGCTAAGCCTTTACTCACTCATACCTTCTACTAGACTCTACCCGAACACTTCTCTACCCTACTCCAAATTGATCGTTTAAAAATTTTAAGCTCCCTGCTAGCTAAATTTTCATGCGAATTAGCACCTAGACTTATTATCGTTTCAAATCCCTTTTTAAAAGGGTTACTAGCTTTCCCTTACTTACGTCTTATACATCTCACAGTTTTATCAATAGTGGCTTGTGTCAGCTATGACATCAAAGCCGGGGATTGACGGACCTCGTTCTGTTGATAAGCCTTACTGCACCAAACATAGAGACTTGTATTAAACCTCCCTTAATTAACCGTGGGATCACATAAGCCAGACGGAATCTGGGCATGGCTATTTCAATGACTGTGAGGCTACTTGTCACTTTCCAGTTAGATTGACGTTTTCTTTCTTGACTATTGAACCAAACTCCAAAGTAATGTCCAATCCCGAATTACGTCCATTCTCAACAAATTGCAAGCGGTAAGAAACCCAGTACCCGTAACAACAAATGCCCTGAAAAGCTACAATATATCATGAGGAGATTATAAAGACAAAGAAAACACCAGGTCACGGATAACCATTCTTATAATATTTCAGGTCACACTCCGCCTGTCCCATACGCCACTTCTTGTTCTTTCTTACATTTGTTCCGGTGTTCAGGTTGCACTGCATTGATACAAATGCTTATCTTTGTTCCTAACTCTCGTACGCGTAAGGATAGTCCTTATCAGATGTGCCTCGCATTTTACAGCTATGGAAAACAATTAACAAAATTCAATATAGGTTTATCAGATGTAACTAACTGGCCAACTCTGCGCTCCCATACTTTTGATTTTGGAATGAATCCCGATGCGGGCTCTGGCTGGCAACCCGGCGTGTTGTTTTCCAACAAGAATTTTTTATTCATCGGATACAGTGTGCTTAATTTCGCGATACCTGTCCAGCTGATATTTGACCCATTCTCGTACTGCTCTCTGGGCTTCGGGGATGAGATGATTACCGTAATGATGGTATTGCTGACTTCGAGCTACCATTTCATGGGCCCATGGGTTAGGATCTTTGGTCCATGAAGTAGAGGATGACATATCAAATGAGAATAGAATACATGTAAATATATCTTTGCTTGAATCAAAAGAAGTTGATATAAAGTGGATGAAGAGTCAACGAGAAACTGGCTCGATGGGTTCAATGGCGCCTGCCTTGAGACTTCTTGGGGCCTTACTTGGATGATTTATGTACAAATTCTCGTGATCCTGAACTGAATTTGGCATGTCTTGGAATAGAAGCGTTGGCGTTCGGTATCAAGATTTGGCCACCTGGAGACCTTGGGGCTGAGTATCGAGTGAACGCGTACGGCATTGAAGTACAATTGCCGAGAAGCTGCGTTACAGCCAATACATTGAGATCGAACCCAAAATTGAGGCTGAAAACTTGGGGCTCACACTATTGGTTCTGGATCTTTTAATGAGGGCGAAAGAATCACACCGGGTCCAAGCCAAAAAAGTGACCAGGCGGCGTGGTCGCCATCGTGAGACAGCCCAGCTCAGCGCGACCAAGTTGTGGGTAAGAGAGGGAAGCTTGGCGTCTAGCGAAACAGCAAGGTTAATCTTGACATTTTCCACACTGGTTAGAACGATCTGGAGTGTTGCAATAGCAAAAGCGCATAATGAACAAGGAGAAAGGATCTGATAGGAGTCAGCGCTTACATTGAAGTCATGTGCCACAGCTGTTCTTCAACGTCTTCGCCAACATCTTCCACCCATCTTTCGAACTTCCTTCCCCCCCACCAATTTCCCCAGCACCACATTTCTCTTTACATATCAACCGGCCATTTCAGATCGTTTCCTCTTGACTGGAGATATTGTTTGCATCATTCGGCCCCTTAGCCCACCCACAACGGCGATAAAGCCTCATTCCCAGTCATCAGCCTTCCGGCATGGCTAGATTGGAAGACCTCGCCCCTGACATCTTCTTCCTGATGCTGGTAATGCGCCAAGTATGAAGGTTCTCTGGGGATTCATTCGAGCATCACCGCGAATGTTCGCCATCTTTCGTGATCAACGAGACGTTATTCTCTCTGCGGTCATCATCTGGGAAATTGGAGCCGATGTTCTCCAAGAAGCGCAGTCCGCTCTACGATCATTACGACGGTTATTACGTGGGATCGTGTCGAAAAAAGAAACACTCGAATGGATTGCTACATATGAAGTCGAACTTTCCCACGATCAACCCCTTCAACAAACATCACTGGGTGCAGTTGCTGTCCCTCTATGGCGACAACATCACAGTGTCAAATCCCTGGCAAGCCTTTACGTTCGCGAAAGACTTCATATTGCCACCCATAGATTTAGAAGAGTGGAAAGTGAAGAGGCACCTCAAGAGGGCCGTTGCTATGACCTTGAGGATTTGTCTGACACGGAAAAATCAAGACTTTTCCGAGGCTTCTACAGATTTGAAATATACGGGAACTTATTCTTTTGTGATTACAGGAGAAAGACCAAGGACACCATTTATGCCCCTGAGCAGTGTGATAGCTTCTTGTGTTTGTTCCCATCTTGGCAGGTCGAGGGGCTGAGTTGCGTCAACGATTTCGTGATCGACAAGGTCTTAGAAAAGTGGCAAGAAGTAGAGGAGAATGGTTACAACGCTCTCATAGCAGCTGGTCCCTCGAGGTGGGATTTTGACAAACCGATTTATAACAGCCGTTGGGAGTTTGACTTCTTTTCGACCTCCGAAAAGCTCCAGTGGCGGGAATCATACCATCGATACTTCGCTACGCTCAAGCTTCCTACTCTAGTATCACTTTTCACGGCTCAGGACGGCCAACTCTTACAGATTGTGAAGGACAATTGTGACTGCAAGTGGCCACATGACTTTTTATCTGAGGCATTGGATCAAGATTCGTATTACTCGCAATTGATTGAACCCAAAAAAGATGAGCATCAGCAAAAAGTATCCGCTGGAGTCAAAATTCAATTTCATCGAGATTATGTCAGCGAAGCGAACGAAGCGTGGCTTTGGGCTCACGAATACCAACCCTGTGACTTATACGTCCAGCCTAGTTATGAAAATGAAATCGGAGAAGGGTTAAGGCAATTTGGATATGTGTTCTGGGACAGCTCTCGGTTGCATGACGCCGGTGTTTTAGAACAGGAGTTGGTCTGGGCCAGTTCCTGTTTTCTGATTCTTGCTAACATGATTGTAGCCCAGTAGACGTTTCTAGAGAATCTTTGCTCAAGTTTCCAAGACCGAAGTACAACGGAACGAGTGTGGAGGATAGATTGAGGGAGTTTGCGCAATCGCAGAAGAGCATTGGGCAATGAAGAACCCGGATATCAAACAATGTCTAGTAATAATGGTCAACTTGTGGAAATATTTTCTTTGGTTAAAAATCATTAATTCGTGATTTATCATAGCAAGTCACTGGTCCAGCCTCCAATTGGTAAATTAACAACCCAAGCTCCGCAAAAAATCTTTCAAAATATTTCATTTTGAATAAATCAAATCGGTCTCCGAGCCCTCACCGCCACTATTGAGATGCCTCTTTATCTCAATCGACTCTCTCATATTGATCTTCCGCCTGTTGTCTCTGCCATCGCTATTCGTACTCTTGAGGACGTGGGATTGGAGGCAGCTTTGGGTGTTGCTCGCGTAACCTAAGAGGGGTGCTGGAGGATGATGCGCGAGATGAATGCATGAAGGGCTGGGACGGAGCTGCAGATTATGGTGATTTCGATTTCAAGGTCGGGCCAGAGAGCTATGTCGACGCCGATTGCTGGTTGGGAATTCGTTAGCAAGTGGGTTTATTAATCTCTTTCGGTGCGATGCAGAAGCGTTTTGCACTGGCATGGTTTGGTTGTCTTACAGTTTCGGGCACTTCCAAGGAAAGGATACGAGGTCAAGCTGTTGAGGTATAGAAAACACCATACCTGTCTGTTGGAAAAGAGGACTAGTAACATCGCCATAAAGAGACTTGAGCCGGATCACAGACACCATTAGAAGCCTAAACATTATCAGCACACCTTTTCACTATGAATTTCTGTTTTTCTCCCAACTTACAGGAACCCATAAGGAAACAGACAGCAGCACAACGCGTTGCTTCCCTGCGATCAGCAAATTCTTAGAAAGAATATGGGAATAACCGGTAATGCCAAAACCATTCAAGATATTGAAGCCCGAGATGGAGTAGTTGAGGGCATTATGATTGACGCAATTTCCAGGTCCCTCAACATTCCATGATTTGGAGATTTGCATGAAGTATAAGAGGCTGCCCGAGTCGGAAAATATGCCGCAGAGCAGGATCCAGACCATGAGGTACTTAATAATCAAAAGGGGCTTAAAACCACACAGTTCCTGTTCCTGTCTTCTCGCATGATCTGGAGAGTTGTGAATATTATTCTCAACAAATCATTATCGTTGATATCGACCCGCCCAGCCGCCACAACACTCGAACCACTTTCTCAAGCCCACAAAAGTACCAATCATCCAACCATAATGCCTTTCCCTCTCCCAAACCCACGAGAATCCCAGCTTAGCATAAATTATATGACTGGACGAAATAACCAGATTCCGCAAGATTGTCAGCGCACTTCTCAGGGAAACTCCTCAGCCTCAGTATCCCCCTCCATCAACAAATACAACGTCTTCGTCTCTCCCCGCAATAACCGTAATATCCGTCCCACGAACCAGCGGCTCTTTGCCCTCCTGTCCAAAGTTCCAAGGAAGCACACCCAGATTGTGATTCACCGAGACCGGTCCCGCAGCCTTGAAAACCCAGCCTGGATATTTGCCAAGCAGGGCTTGCACACAGGTGGCGTCGACTTCTGTGTGGTCTTTGAAGCTCTTGTCGGGCTAGAAAATGAAGTCCGGGGTGTGTATTGATTTTATGGTAGCGAGTCGGGTGGCGGGGGAACGCTCATTGACAACGTCCATGAGGTTGGTGTTCATGAGGGAGACGATTTGCTTGGTGGAGTGGGCTGTCTTGTCTGTTGTGGAAGCCATGATGTTTTGGATTGGACTATTGACATGGAAGGTTTTGGTTCGGTTTTGGAAAGTATATGAGGGGCAAGATTGGGACATGGCTGTTTCACATTTATAAGGCGGATGATGTTAGATACTGTAGTACGGTTACGGCGTCACGTGCTCCACGCTTAGTGAGGTGCTACTCCTCGGCTAGCACGCTTCACTAGCATGTGATTCTCTTGTATATAGCTTCAGCTTCCAGATTATTAACTCTTTAATCGATCCTTCATGAACGGCGTCTGACAGATGATCGCATATCAAGAAATGGAAGGGCATTGTGGGGAAGCTTATTAAGGACGTCACAGTTCAGACTACATCCAGAAACTATTGACATAATCATGCCATCACCTGTAGCTCTTCTTAAACCCGATGACCAATCTGGGTTTCTAGAAATCGTCCAATACCAGTGTGAAGCGTGCTGTGCGAACCCTGCAAGACTGGGGATATGATCCCTTTTGGGTAGTAAGCGAGAATCCCAATTGGGAAGTATGTGTCCCTGTCTGCAATGATTCGATCAATCCAACTTGTCACCGCATTATTGCTAGTCATGACCAAATAGCTGTTAGGAATTATACTTAGAAATCTAAAATTTCGTGTTATGTAATACTTGTTTCCATTTCACTCACCGTACCGGTTTCGCTCCCTGCTCGGTGAATAAGCTTCTATGCACAAACCAACGAATTTATACTGCAAGCCCCCCACTGTTTACCTGTCTCGGCTCCGATGCCGCTTCAAAGGTCCCATTCCACAGCCTTCTCACCCCTTGCACACTCGCCATATAATTCCCAGTGAAAGTCAAATTATGACCCCTCTCTCCCAAGCTTTCCACAATTTCTTTATCAAACCTCCCCTCAAAGAGCGTACTAGCCGGCAGTAACTGATCATGCATTCTCGGCTCGTTCAATGCCTCGGGCAAAGTCATGCCATGTTCTAGGACATGCCAGATGGATTGTACTGTTGAGGTCGGGATCATAGAGCCGCCGGCGGCACCGATGGATACATAGAGAGAACGGTTGGAGGAGTGCTCGACGATTATGGGGCTGATAGAAGAGAGAGGACGCTTGAAGGGTGCGATGTAGTTTATTGGGGAGGGGATGAAGCCGAATTCGTTGGGGATGCCGGGGATTGAGAAGTCATTCATTTCGTCGTTCATGATTACTCCTATTCCACACATCAGTACACAGTACACAAAGGTTTCCAAAATCAAATCAGATGAGAGAGAGAGGAGGACGTGCCAGTCTCAGGCACAACGAGCAGTGACCCCCACAACAGATTCACGGTTGACGTTGAAGTAATGGACATCCCAGATGCATCCGCTGTGACGATGTGTGATGTTCCATGATTCTCAGGAAGCGAGTACTTGACCGGACTGTAATGAGATACATTATGAGTATGATGATCTGAAATTCTGCGTCTGATGCGCTCTGCGGTTGCCTCCCTCAACATCTGGGCCTCGAATCCGGCCATGTAGCCGAAGAAATCGGGGTCTCCAAGTTCAGAGCGAGCGGCGTACGAGAAGCGCATCGCTTCATTTAGGCGGTGGTAGTTGAGATTTCGCAGTTCTGGATTACTCATCTCATAACCCTCGATGATTTTGAGGATGCTGAGAGCGACCGAACCACCGCTTGGCGCACTACAAGAGTGGAGAGTGAAGTCTTTGTATCTGATGCTAATGGGGTCCCGGATAGAGATTTGGTAGTTCTTCAGGTCGTCAAGGGTCATGATTCCACCTGCTGATTGGACGGCGTTGATAGTTTGTTTTGCTGTGGGTGTTAAGAGGCTGCTGGATGTGATTGAGAAGTAAAAAACTTACCAATGTTTCCTTCGTAGAAAGCTTCCGCTCCATGCTTGGCGATTTCGTCGAGCGTGCTACCACGAAGTTAGAAAATAACTAGAGAAAGAGGTAGTAAAAGACCCACTTCGCGTATCGTTTTCTCGTCATCATGTCACCGACGCCGACCAAAGTGCCGTTTGGTGCAAAATCCATAGCCCACTGAGGATCTTCGACCAAGAATGCACCGTGGTGATGTCCTACATCCATATACCGGACGAGATCTTCCGTCACTAATTGCCAGTCAGTATCTGTGAACTCGATTTGGCAAAATGCAAATACCTCGAAACCCATGTCTAGCGACGTGAACAGCTGGATTACAAACGACTCGCCATGGAAGTATCTAAGAAACGATCAATTGAATTCAGGAAGAGAAGCGACACGACACGTACCCCATATTTCTTGTGCAAATATTCGAGCCCTCGAAGATCACCCGGGACACCACTCGCAAGGCCACCACGAAGACTCCCGTATATATTATCGTTATACATATCTTCAGACGCCGCAGCGGGAGCAGTTTCTCGGAAGTCTAGCATCGTCAGCAACTTGCCCTACACCAAATCCCATCTCCAGTCTCACCTATCGCTTCGTAATTCCCATCGGAATCCCTCACGAGCATGAATCCACCACCTCCAATCCCACTATGTTGCATGCCTTCTCTAATCAGCAAAATCTTCACAAACACAGACATTTACTCACCGATAACTCCCACACAAAGAGTCGTCCCAACCATCGCATCAGCTGCATTTCCCTTTAAGCACGTGATCAGTCCCAATGTCCCTTCATTCCATCGACATGGAAGGAACCCACCCCTCGTCTGAGCAACTCAATCCCAATCTCACTACATGTCTTACTCTCACTCGATACCGCTCCCAGAGCATCCGTTCCATGCGCAGGGACGGCGTTGACGAGATGTCCGTTCAGTAAGAGCAGCCAGAGGAGACCCCGGGAGGCGTGCCCGATAAGGCCGATTAAAGGCGCTGTATCACTGTTAATGATGACAGATGTGCAACCAAAGTATTGGAGCTTACCCATCGAGAGAGAACCGTCTTACGTGAGGCAAGAAAGACAAGGAAAGCACGACAGCCTCCCCACTTTTATCTGTGCCACAACGGGATCTCACCTCGGAGACCCTCTTCTCTCCCGGATTGGCTTGAACGTCTTCCTTAGGGCAAGGCTGAGCTGGGGTATGTAAGAACTGCAGATTCGTCCTTGTGGATTTAGTGACGGTTGAGATGTCGTTGAGAGAGGTGTTGTGGGGATTTCAATTGTTTTCGGCGTCGGCGTTAAGATAAGCCAGGCAGAGCAGCCCTGCAGGGATGTGTCAGCAGACCCCGGAACATCGTCACCAGACGCGTCCAGTCGCGTCTCCCCAAACATCATTCCCCCCCCCCCCCCCCTACTTGAAACCTATCGAGTCAACAACAGCCAAGATGATCAGAGCGTTCGTAGATCTCACGAAGACCTCGAGCAATGATGAACGTGATGTCTCTGACGTTGAATGAACTCCTTTTCGATCCGTTGCTTCAAGTCAGCCACGAATCAACACACCTCCTTCTCAGACTCTAAGCAACAAACAGACATCAGTCGTGCGTTGTAGAGGGCTATCGATGTTGCGCCCGAGGGGACGGTGCGGTGGATCTTGCAGATGGTTGCTTGCCATAGCAGCAACACTAGAAACATTGTTCGGTTGTGGCAGGGTGTGCCTGTGATGGAGGCATCATTGCCCCATGGTGATACGTCGGGCGAAGAGGCGGAAAGCTGTGAAGGGCTGATAAGGACGATGGTCAAAGGAGTGAGAGAGAATGTCGATGAACACGACTCCGATCAGGAGGCCGAGTCCAAGCTTGAGAATTTTGACGGGAGAGATTTAAAAGAATGGAAAAGATTTATACTGCGAAACTATTCAAAAACAGGAAAGCGGGCCAAGAAAAAAAAGATCTTTGGAATCAAAGGGGGCTGCCCGAAGATCCACTTGCCCTTACTCGGGATGGTAAGGACGCAAGACCCAGCCCGCACAACTTGTGGGATATTTTCTGTCCAGGTAGCAAGACGGAGGAGAGCTGTAGATAGCATAAATGTATGCATACTATTTTAAAAATTTCTAAGGTTACTGACTCGTAATTTATTGTGAGTTACACTTTTGCGGCTGCTTCCCGCTGCGAACCCGGAAATACATGGAGGTGTTGCAAAAGCAAGTTGACCGAAAAAAGGCTGCATGTCGGCTCCGCACACTCCCCTCACGAATCCGGTCTGGTCAAACCGCAGAAGAATTTCAATCGAGATGCAACGCGAAAGCAATGTGTAATTGGCACCAATGTAAGGAACCCAACCCCGACGTGTCTTAAGATACTAACCATCTTCGAAAGATAAATACACGGTGCCAAACATAGACAACCGATTTACCGACGAGAACAAAATGACTCCGACCCACCGAAGGCTACATGAGCCCGTAGTGATCGGAGACCGAATGAGCAAGGTCGCATTTCAACCCAACACTATGTTGAAAGCCCGCTCTGCGTAAATTGCGGGCAAAGGTCAATCCTGAGGCAGAGGGGTGGTGCAGTTGGCGCAATGGTAAACGAAGTATTTTCTGCTGTCTATACGGACCTAGGCTAACAAGTTTATAGGAGAAAAGATTCCTACAGTCCTACTGTTATCGCCTTAAAATACGGTGAAACCTACCGTGGCACTTATGCAGGTTTCCTAGATAACCCTTTATAGTTCTGAATACTTTGGGGTCGCCATGGAAGTACCCCGTCTGCAGATGGTTCTAAAAGAATGCAGCATCTGGGACACTCGACGACCTCCCAGAGTGTGCATAATGCGGAGAGATTTCAATCCTCCAAAACTGTAGTTTGCATGACGGCAAGCTGTCTCCTACCTCCCATGTTGGAAATGTCTGATATTCCTACAGAGAACTACCAAATTATCGACGAGGAGGCCTCGATTTTGGCAGACTACGACGAAGATTTCTACGGCAGTTACGAGAGCATGAAAGGACCCCAAATACGCATCTGGATTCCTCTGGGGTTATTGCGAGTGCGAGATCTCAGATCCGTAGTGCATGGCAACCGAGCACCGCACCAAATCGACGACGCCTAAGGCCAAAGAAATGAAAAGAAAAGAAACGGAAATTGACTTCGAATACCGAAAGGCCCCCAAAGAAAGGGACGCGGCGGGCTTTGAGTAGGTTGGTAGTTAGAAAGTGGTGATGTGCTAAATGCCGATACGGGTCTGTTCTATTGTATATCTTGTCTTGCAATGCGGTTCGGTTCACTTGGAAGAATGTATACGCTTTCCTTCCCCTGTGAAAGCATTCTATTTCTGGAGTGGTATGCATGCCTTCTTACTTAAAGAATAGCAACTACGTTGAGGTGCACAGTGTGCAGCCCGTTGTTTACTTGTGACACTGTTTTTGAGAACTTGTATTCGGATACTGCGAGATCATTCTGAGTATTTAATGCCAATCGCCGCCGTGTTGTACATGCTATATATATGTCGAGTCTGTAAAATTTAGTCAATTCCTCAAAAACATAATAGTGGTAATTCCATGACTGCCCAACTTGAATAATTGAACATCGGAGACACCATTTAGTTTGCCCACGACTTCCATTTGGTGACAATTACCGAGTAACGCACAAGGACTTGCTTGTTTACAATATCCGTGCAATAATTTGAGTAATACGGAGGGGAATGACTATTCGGAACTCGAACCCTGCCACTAATGGGTCCGCAAAGTAAGAACAATAACGTTCATTGGTAGTAAAGACATCTCGTTCAACGGAATATATAGCCCATTGGTGTTTGAAGGGAAAATAGTTTTGGAATTCAGCTCATCCCACCAAAACTCTCCTGACTTCGCCGTAGATGGTGTTCCATTTTTGATTTCGAGCCAAAGGATGTTAGGTACATCCGCACAAAGCTGTGTCCTTCTAACCATCTTCAAGCAGTATCGGAAGGCAAGGATGTACCAAAACAATCCATACATCCCCTCCAAGAATAGCTGTCTTTCAAGGAAACGTAGAGAAATCGCCTGGATAAATTGACATGCCACTTAGCCAGACACATTGAAGAGATTAGCTAATCTAAGAAGGCGAAACGTGGAGTGAATTTTCCTTTTAGGTACTCGAATAACTTGCTTAGTCTTGCATATTAGCATTTTCAAATACCGTGGCAAGATAAGGGCAAAAACGCACCGGCAGGGGAGCTATGGGGTTGAGTTCCAATGTGCTGAACGTGGAATATTATGACGCAACTTTGCTTGCGCGCAATATGGTGCGTCTTTTCAGCTCAACGTGTCGAGGACTTTTTCTTTTCATTTTCATTCAGCCTTTCGAGAGCTCTTTGGCACTCCTGGAGGCCGTGGCGGCTCATTTCGGGCGGGAAGATCAGGCGGATTCTATAAATCCGGGATTGTGTTAGCATCGGATGGCTTTTACTGAGGGAACATTGACGGTGGGAAAGTCATAGGAGCTGACTACGCACGCTGTAGCAATTGATTGTGTTGAAAGGGTGGACCTCTTGCCCAACTGCATCATTTTCATTGCTTCAGTAGTAATCCGTACAAACATATCTAGGTAACAATCAGCTCTCAGATCAGCGCATTCCAAGCCTGGTATGTGTTCATCTCTGAACGGGGTCGATCTGACTGACCGTTGATAAAATCGTTCATGATTTGCATCGCCAGGTTGCTGATACTTTCATCAGGACTGTGGAATTCCTTGACTGCGATGAGGATTAGCCTTGACTCTATTATGGTGAGAGCATGACTACACATGTAATCACCTTTATAAATGGCCCTTTTGTAGTTGGCCAGCCCTCTCTCTTGTACCCTCTTTGCCTTCCTTCTTTTGTTTGGTACGGACCGTGGCCTTGTTGCTCTTCGATATGAGGTTGACTTGGGCCAGTTGGCTTTCGGATGAGCCTTGGAAAGTCGGGAATCTTTTGGACTATCGTTAGCAACACGCTCCCAATTCAGCTGTGAAGCTGATAAGTCTCCGGATTTGCCAGGAGAGATCGAGGGGTGGCAAGATGTGTTGCAAGTGCGAGGATAAGGGTTTGAGGTAGATAACGCACCGGAAAGTCGAGTGGAACGACGACGTGCTTGGTCTGAATCTTGTCGGTGGATACATATTAGTGTATGGCACAGACAAAGAACCAGAAGGACAAATTCAGGGTACCTGGTACTTGACACCGGCCTTTGTGTATTTCAAGGTTGCACCTTGCACAAGTGCCATTGTCATTCGCGTCAAACCCAAGAAGGTTCTGACCAGCGATAGCATGGGTTGCCATGGTGCCAAGAAGATCGAAGTCCCCGTTGTTGGTGCCTAAATTGGATATCCACAGTGTTGAGAAGGGCAGGCGGGGACACAAAGAAGTAGCTACTTGGGAGAGGAAGTATCGTATATCGAATGTTTTGCACAGGACTTTGCCTTCAACAAGAGACATGAGGAGGATGAAAAAGGGACGAGCAATCTACCTTCCACGAATCGGCCGGCTGTAACTGTTATCATGCTTGCAGGCGCCTCGAAACTAGATAATACGCCTCTGACAACCTTTTTCCTGAGGGGGCGCAAGAAAATAGGCATCCTCATTGGTGATTTCGCCCTTGTTCATTCATGTGGGTTTCAATTTGTGATGTCTCACTAGCCAGGCTTGTGATCCACCGAGAAAATCCAACAAGGAGCGAGGGCATTGAGAAGTATTCAAAACTTCCTGTTGGCGTGTCGCTTGGAAAATCTATGTATCTTGATCGACAGGTTCTGAAACCTCGAGAAAACAGGGAAAATGTCTCCACCAGTGCTCATAAAAGCGTAACCGTGTATCCACATGCTTGACTGGGAGGAAAGCCACTTGCCTGACATTGCCTTCACACCGCCATTGTGGCTCAGGAGTCTAAAAAGCAACCTGGGTTGTGTAACCGTGAACTCAAAGATATCAGATACAGATTACAGACAGTTGCATGGGCTGTGCTGGTGGCATATGAACAACCACAATGGTCAGCCACCGGCGGGGTTCGCGTGCAAGGGGCGCCAATTGATTGGCCAGGGACGAAGTCGGGTCGGCGTGCTTGTATCCGTATTTAAGATCGTCCTTTGGATTCCTTGCCTGCACCCAGTCCGCTTTGGCCAGATAGTGACAGATACAGACGGGCTGGGCGTGGACAATTTCTTTCCGCGTTTCAGCGACGCCATCTTGGTTGTCACATGCCACTTGGGAAGTCTAAAAACAGATTACAGCATATGAGATTGGTGACCTGTTTGTATCTTTCTCAAGCTTTGTACGCCGTGCTCTCGTATCCATCAGCATACACGTGAAATTCGCAAAGGTGTGGCAAGCTAGGCAAACAACAACGACCCTGTCAGGAGTTCCGCCGATCTCCTCCAGGAATAGCCTCCACAGCTGGGCGAAGGTCAGAAATCAAAAGCGCCACTTTGACCGATCGTCAGAAATTACCTGAACCTCAAGCACGATCAACTGGGGGTCGCCTGCATTGCCACCGTTACCAACTCAGTTGACACCGACATTCAAGATTCTAAACAACAATACACAGAATTACTTTCTCAGCCAAAACAGTATGCTTCGAGGCACATCTCGCTCTCCGTCACCTATAATCGGCGTAACCACCCGCCGAACAATGCAGAATGGGCGCCCCGTGTCGCTTGGAATACAAGGCAACGGCAATCGAGAGCGATCGGGTTCGTTTCCCGCAGCAATACGCACTGGAAGCTCTGAGTTGTCAGCGAAGAGTACAGAGAGATCCCCATCAGCAGATGTTGGCGGTCGATGTCCTCAGAGCAATTCAAGCTCACCACTGCCTCAGCCCATGAATCCAAGCAGAAGCAAAGAGGCTGTCTGCCCAACTACATTCCGAATCCAACCACACCTACAATTAAGGGAAGCGCAGCAGACCAACGAGAATCGTGGAACGGTCGACGAGCTAGTATACCACTCTGCCAACTCCTTGACAGCGGTCCATTCTGACGAGGACTTCACCTTTTTTGGAGATGTGCCTCGGACGACAATCGTGATAAAGTGGATGAGGTATTATAAGTACCATCCAGGTGTCGACAAAGCGACAGACAAAATACGCCGCGACAAATTGAAAGCGCACCTCAAAATCCCTTCGGGAAATGGACAGAGGCTTGGGCAATTTATCATCAACAAGTTCAACAACTTCAGGAAGTGGGGGTATCTATACTGGGACGGCAAGGACCACGTTGTATATTGCCCCTCTACGGATGCATGGTTAAGCCCAACTTGGGACGGACAAATCGAGCGACAACAAACTTCAATACCGCCAGAGACTCGATCTCCAAATACTCTAGGAGGATCAAGAAAAAGACAAGCTTCTACAAGGAGATCACAACGGGAGAAACGCCAAAAGGCGACGAGCCAGAGAATGACCACGCCGCCTGTTACAACGAAACCCACACCTTCGAACGAATCTAGAGAGCTGGATACACTCTCATCTCCTCGCTCAGGCCAACACCCGTCTATGATGAACGAGCGTCCCAGTTGCGGAGACTATGGCTTCGGGTCCGGAAATGGTCCATCATTCTATGACAATCAAAACAACTCACAAAACCGAACCCAGGCGAATCATTTTGGAAGCAAGCAAAAGAGGACTGGCTCGTGGGGTGAAATCAATCTTCCCGTTGATGGTTCAACAAATCATCCCAGCGCGGCTGCCGCAGCACCAAATATCCGGACGACAGCAATGGAAGGGGCTTCAGAAGGAGCAAACCTCACACAGCTCTCCAGCCTGTCGAATGGTGGTGTCATAGGCGTAGACAAGTTCGGAAACTATCCGCAGCTTCACGGCAGAGACCTGGCGCCAAATCCCGAAGAACTTTCTGCACGGCTGGAGGCTATTAATCCTCAGTCCATTTCCTGTATGACAAACGGCAGTTCCAGCTCCGATCAACTTTCTAGCTCAGCAAAGCACGTGGGCGCTCTTGGACGTCTGAGGGCGGAGGAAAAATCATGTCTCAGGTTTTTGAGGGAAAGTGTCAAAGAGCTGGATAGTACCAGAGAAAAGCACAACAAGCTGTGCCAACAATTTGAAAGACTGAAGGACGAATTTAGAGTCACTTTGCAATTCGTCGAGCACAAAAGCAGGCGTCAGAAAGAGGTCGCTCCTTCCACCCCTCTTGGTGCAGTCGAATCAATCTTCGTCGAGCGTCTCCAAGATGTCCTTCAGAATGGCATGAAGAAGAAAAACTTCCTCCGTGCGAAGCAAGAAGAGAAGTCCAGCTTGGAAACCCAAATTGCGGAAGCCGCTGAAGCAAAATCTAACCTGAAGTCTGGCATTGCTGCCAAAAGGATCGAACTTAAGCAGCTTCAGCGAGATATCAAGGAGGCGCTCAAGGCGAGTGCGAAATTGGATATGTTTGCAGGGAAACTTAGGATTTTGCTGGATAACTGTAAGGATCCAGGTGGCTGTTCTAAGTCCGGGACAACGTCGCCAGTCGAATCGGTGCCGGAGTCAGTTTCGAGTCAGATCGATGGAGTGGATCTGCTCAGTGAGGCAGATGAACTGAGCGAGTAGAGTGATCTGGATTCTGACGATGTGTGTAGCTAGATTGAATTGTTGTTCTTGCGATGGTAACCAGTATTTTTTCTTGATCGTAAGATGACAGACGGAAAAGAAAGCCATGTATTCAATTCCATTTATTTTCGTAGATAGCTCCAGCAGTCATAATTTGTTTTGCCAAAGACAACTTTTCAATTCACTATTCCTTTAGAAGAAGTCGAAGGCGCTCTACGCTGTGCACCAAGTCATGACTACACTCTAGGAATGTATACTGAGCTTCAAAGTGATAACGAAGTATGTGCAAGGTAAATATCACGTGACCACACCCATCACCTCTTTGTCTTTCCTTGTATTTGGGCTATTCCAAAGCTATAGCAACAAGTCCATGTATTTGAAAAGAACCATAGTTTTGTTAGCATACTGTGTATTAGTTCAGGAGGTGCAATTACATTAGACATCACTTTCCATCATTTACCGCACAAGTGTATAATACGCCGCGTTACTTTACAGGGTATTTAGGATCTAATTTCTCTGGCAGAATCGAGGGCTGTTTGCTCTAAATTACACGAAAAATGAACTTACTATTCATTGTTTCTGCTTAAACTCCGAGATGTTCAAATTTGTTTTTGTATATACTTCTAGAAACCGCAGCCGATGTCGTTAAAATACACGGCCGTGTTTTGTACATACGCAGTTTATCTTATACGTGAGTTAGATATCTTCTTTTTGAAGTCTCTTTTCTTTCCCTAAACCTCACTATCGTGCCTTCCCAGGGGTGTGGATAATGGCAAGCACGAGGGCCCAAAGCGCTTATGAGAAAATACATCACTAATAATATTATATTGACGAGTAATATAATGTAACGAGGCGGGAACACGGTTTGGATGGCTTGCTGAAAAGTAATCATTTCATATAAGATGAATTTTGTGGAGTCTGTGAGCTGTGTTCATTGTGCGGGGCGAAGGAACAGCAGCGCGACGTCCCTTTACGAACCCTTGAGATTCCCGCCCTGAAAGAACTGTAGCTCAAACTGGGATTTAACACAGAGGGAAAATTCTTTTTATTCAGGGACCTAGACCAAGACGGCAGCTAGTTTTGATGGTGTGATGCTCTCTAGGCCCGCAGCGGTCAATGCTTAGCTCTGCTTGAAGGTGTATTTTAGCCGCCTTACGAAAATATGGCGTGAAGGGAAGATATAATCGAAGGGAATCAAATCACATGAAGCAAGGGCAGCGATACGCAATAGAAGTCGAATGGCATCATCGAAGAATATTTGGTGGAGAACGGAAGCTCGATTGAAGGAACCTGAATTCTCTGCTGGTTGTAATTATATAATGCAAGTCACCCCTCGAGCGAGGAGGTCACCGCAAAGCGCACATGAATAATGAAGTCCTTGATCCTATTTCGCTTTCCAATTCATGCAACCTTCGTTGCAAATGCATTATCCTACTCCGTCTCATTATCCGCTCCCACAAATCATCTACAAACCAACGGCAGCAGCCAGAACCGCTGCAACAACGGCGAACAAGCCCATCTCAAGCCTCCCAGCAGCTCCGGTATACGTAACCAGCGTCCCATTGTTCATGCTCGTGGGGTAGCCCTTGCTTGTCGGGCTTGCGCTGGGCAAGTACTTGATCGACGTTGTCGGGTATACGGTCTCAGCAGCATGGACATGCGAGCTCGCAGCCGTCGCCGTAACGTAGTACTCGGTCGCAACTTCCGTGTACGCGGGGCAAGTCGACAGAGTGTAAGGAAGGCAGGTCTTGCAGGGCACGACGACGGGTGGCGAAGAGGTGTAGGTAGGAGGAGGCGAGTGGCAGGATGTCACGGAGGCTGTAATGAAGTCCTTGTAGGTGACGCCCGCGCTGGAGAGCGCACACGAGTAGCAGGGGTAGCCGGGCATGTCGGTGTTCCAGATTGGCTTGTTGATGGAGGAGCAAGTTGATGTGATGTACTCGGTGATTGTCTCGGTCAAGTCGATGGTCTTGCAGTTCTCGATGATCTCGATGACAATGATGACTTCAACACCGATGATGTAGACTTCGGGAGGAGTTGGGGTCACATATGGGCCAGGGCAGAACGTTCTGTTTTCATCAGTAATCTGTCCTGGTATTTGTGGAAGAGGGAGACTTACGTTGTCGACCCTGTAGTGGCAGTCACCACCTTTGTGGAGTAGTTACCATAAGGAGTTGAGGTCGGCTTGGTGGACGAAGAAGAGGAGCCGCCAAGAGGAGGAAGACAAGTTCCATCACCAGCCGGACGACCAGAGAGACACTTGCAGCTGATGGAGCAAGCATCATCCCCAACACCGTTGTTCTTTCCATCATCGCATTCCTCGCCAAATGCCTTCTCCCAGACACCGTTTCCGCAACCAGCTGGTGTGGCGCCGCGGCTGATGATGTAGGGAAGTCCGATGGTTCCGTCACCGAAGGTCTGGGAGCCGACACCAATGATGTCTTGAGCGATGGCCAAGGCCTGGAAACCGTTGACTCCAACGGATGGGTAGACGGAGAAGGCTTCGTGGACACTGCAGCTCCAATCTGAGAGGGCAGCATCATCGAGCGTGCCGAGAGCTGGGGAGGAAGCGACGATGTGGACTTTGTTGTAGCAGTCGAGGTTACCGCGGACTTCAAAGTCACCGAAGTAGGAGAGGGCGTCTACGGTTGCGGTGTCGACGGAGTCGTAGTAGCAGGAGAGGGCGAAGTAGAGACCGGTTTGGGATTGTCCAGTTGAGGTCTTGCCTGATGCGGCGAATCGGATGGCGTTGTCGATCAGGGTGACGGCTCCGGCTTCTCCAGCATTATCATGGTAAGAGGGATCGGTTCCTGGATGACATCAGTCTCGTTGTCTCTAGGTCAAGGATTGTGTGCGAGGTGCATACCGATCAAGACAATGTTACCCTGAACGGCTGGACCCCAGACCGTGTTGGTATCGTGCAAGAAGGTAATGTCAGTTGGGTCAGTTGCACAAGTTGGGTCAGCAATAACGATGGCCTTATAGGCAGCAAAGTCGGCTGTGGTCATGCCAGCCCATTCAGCTTCAGTGACCACCTTAGCTGTGTATCCAAGAGTGGTTGTTGCTTCCAAGTATTCATCGAACTTGAAGGTGTCGACGAAGAGAAGATCTTCTGCTACAGCAGAGGTAGCAAGGCCGGCCATCAGGCCCATGGTAGAGAACTTCATGTTGATGAACCAAAGGAGCTTGAACGGGAAAAATTAGGTAAGAACTTGAGATCGCAATTAAGTTGTTAATGAGTGACTGTAGTTGAAAACAAGTGACTGAGATCAAAAGAGTGATGAGTCTGCCCGGAAAACTTCCTCCTGGACGCCCATGAGATATATACCCGTTCCAAGGTCCAGCCGCTGACCCCTACTCGGACATACAAACGAAGGCTGAGCAGGTTGACAACTCACAACAGGTCAAATTTGCACATTTTCATGCCAAGGACGGTTCCTCGCTGGAAGAATTATCTGATCGTGTGCAAAACTGGGCCCATATTTCCGCTCAGGTACGGACCCTTCTCCAATCATGCACGAAAGGGGGCTTCTTGTCGCGGGAAGGATGCGTTTCCGCAGAGCAGCGGGAAATAAAAAATCTGGGGATGTCTCCTGAGAATGCCTTGCCTCTCCACGCTTGTAGAGTCCTTCAGCTTAGCGAGCCTCGGCATCGCCAGTGATTGATCGCTGGGTCAGCTCCGACGCCACGCATAATCCCCATTGAGCTATTGACTCGCTGAGCCCCAAATTGGGTGTGCCAAGGGGTTGGCGAAAATCATCTGATCTGGTTTTCTGATTTTAGAAGCGAGATGCAGGTATGGTGTTGCAGCCAGACGAAATGCAGGAACCCGCGTTCAGGGGTACAGCTTGCGACATGGCGAGGGGCTGACAACGGTTTAGCGCCGTGCGACGCCTTGCTTGTTGACGGCCACTTGAGGGGCCAAGAACCTTAAAATTGACTTGGGGTTGGATGGGAGAAGCATGATTGGTCTGGCGCACTTGTGGAAAGACAATTGGCCTGGACATCGCCGTTGAACAGGAACTGGAGTTTTTATGACAAAACGTAAACTTTATCTTGTCAAGCTAGCCTTTGCAAAAGGATGGTTTGGCGTTCTTCGCCATAACTGGAGGGGAAAGTTGAGAAGTCGGAAACTTCCGTTTAACTTCGGGTCTATTTAGTATTTACCCCCTAAACTGGCTTGTCCAGATATGCAGAATATGTAATCAAAAGCAGGGACAGAAACACAGGAAAACAATATTTCCGCATAAAGGGAGAGAGCATTGAAGACTTTGAGCGGTTTTCCTTCTCATGAACCTCTGGTCAACTCGCATGTGCATCCTGAGTCCAACAAGCGGCGACATGTGTTCCTCGACTAAGAAGGCTGATTCTACCCCTTCAAAGAAGCTCAAAAACCCTTGTTTTCATTTCCTTCGTATAAGATTGTAAAAGAAGTCTGCGTGTGTTGGCTCTGCAGCTTTGATAGATGGATGGAATGCGTAGAAGTCACAAATGTTTCACAGATCACGCATCTCTCTAGGCATGACTTCGGATACGACACAGAACAACATGCTGAAATGGCGCCAAGAATTGAAGACGATGTCTCTCAAGGCCGACGGTTCTCTGTGTCACGACGTATGCCCGAAAACAGCACATCTCATTAAAACTTGACCACTTGGTCTCGACTTGTCGGACCTGGACCAGGGCTGAGTCCAGCGCGCTTGGGGGCCAAATTTAAAGTAAGCCCGAAAGGATGCATTCAGCTCCTGGCTGCGCCAGGCTGCGGTGGAACGTATCTCGTATTCACCGATTCCACGAATGTTGGAAGGATCTCCGAGACACGCAAACACAACAACAGCTCGTGGCTTTCGCCAAGAAGCAGGTCTCTTGGTTCAATCATCCACAAACGCTGAGGCTGAGACTTCATGCCGCATGTGCATCTGATAAAAAGATGTGAAAAGGAACGAGGTTTCCAGACGGAACCCCTGAGTCCCCTTTAGGAATGGCGGGATGGTCATGTGACAGCCGGTAGATTGAGGACAGGGGCCGACGCGCTTTGTTTACTTCGCGTCTCCCAATCTCAAGTCTGCAGCGTGACACCGGCAACCTGCACCAATTAGCAGATCAGAGTGAGAGACGAAATCCATGAATTCGCGAGTTATCGACCTCACCGGAGACAGCTCAGATATCGAGCCTGCGAGGCTCAATATCATGCCACGAGTCAAACGACAGGCACTGAAGGCCGTGGGGAATGGCCCGCCAGGGAAGAAGGCAGAGGAACCTCCAGAGTCAGTTGAGCTTTCAACCGCCCTGAAAAGGGCAATCGAAAGCATGTCTCACGACCGGTTAAAGACGTTGGTAAAGCATTACTGCAAGTCCATTGAGCCGTTGAGAAATAAGCTCGAGGAGAACTTGCTTGTGGCTGGCCGAGAGGTGGTGCGATACCATATCGATTCCGATTCTGAGAATGACCAGAACAGCGAGAATGAAAGTAGTGAGGAGGAGGAGGAGGAGGAGGAGGAGGATGGCAGTCACAATGATAGCGATGACTTAGATGAGGACAAGGAACCGAGGAAGAAGTTCAAACCGATCGCAGCAGCAGATGGCGAAATGGTCCCAAAATACGCCACATGCCTCAACTGCAAGGCTGAGTTTGATGTTACTTTTAACAATAGGGGAGATTGCAGGTGGCATTCAGGTATTTTGGCACAATTCCTCAACCGGCTGAACCCTTCACTAACCTGCATGTGCGAAGGCGAGAAAGAGGCATACCATGACGACGATTTCTGGGCCGATCATGATGAGGACTGCCATGGGGACATAGACAACTTTATAGATGATTCCGATTATGCTGAGGGGTTCAAATGGTCTTGTTGCGATGAACTTGGGGATAATGAAGGCTGCAAGTCGACAAAACATAAGGCGGCTGTGAACGAAGTTCGGTATCCAGTTCCTGTCCCTGTTTCTGTACCCGAGTCCGCCGGCAGGAAACGAAAGGCAGAGAAGGAAATGGAGCGGCCAACATACGCACGATGTAGGAACTGTGAGCGAAGATTTGATGTCCATGACAACGAGACGAAATCCTGTCTTCATCATCCACGCGGTGTGGATATTGACAACGAGGGAGAGCATTGGTGTGATTGGGACGAGGACTGCCACGGGGACATCTGGTCGCTGAGAGATGATCCTGACCATGCAGATGGTTTCATGTGGTCGTGTTGTGAAGGCCCGCTGGATGATCCAGGGTGCCAGAAGAGGAGACATGAGTTGTGACTGGTGATATTTCCACAGAGACCTCCGTTTCCTTGTGCTATTGGTATGGCACTTGCGTATGAATCAGGGTCCTCGCTGCAAGAAACAAATCCTTCTACGAGAAGTTTATCATCACCTGACCCTAATTTCGATTTCAGGGGTAGCACGCCCAATTTCCGTCACATCCCGTCTCTTTCCTTCAAACCTCACTTCACACTTCACTTGCCTTCAAGCTCACACGACACCCACTCCAATCGCAAACACGCGAGCCACCCACTTCGCTCATACCGTACAGTGCACCCCGGCTTTCTATTCTGCGAACAGTTCAGCTCAGCAAGCATGCCTCGAGCGAAATGCTAGCCGCTGGGGGCTATGAAGAGTGGCGTCCGCAAGGCAGACTTGCCTCCGAAACCAGTTGTCTTAGCGGCACTGAGCAAAGCAATTGATGCGATGGATCATATGCGACCCAGGCTGTGGATGAAACAATATTGCGAGACCGTGCAGCCGTTGAGGGAGAGTTTTGAGAAAGGCTTACTGGTCCCGGACAAAGACGTAATCAGGTATCATGCAGGCTCGGACTCCGAAGATGGGAAGAGTATGAAGAGGAAAGCGAAGAGAGCGAGGAGGAAGATACCCCAATTCGACCTATCTCACTCGGCGATGAGGATTTGACGCCCCGATGACGAATTCGACGTCACGAAGAATGACAAAGGCGATTGTGTCTAGCATCCGGGTTTGTGGAAGCTCCTTTTAAATGGCGTATATCTAACCTTTCTAAACCAAGGACTGGGAATCGTCTGGGATGATGAAGTGTGAATATGGAACGACCTTGAGGAACAATGGGGCCATCCTAGCGACTTTGCAGATAAGGACGAATATTCAGAGGGTTTCAAGTGGTCTTGTTGCGATGAGCAGGGGGATCATGAGGGGTGCTAGTCGATGAAGCATAAATCGGATACCAATGCCATCGTGCCCAAGCCCATACTGCCACCTGCGACCAAGTCGAGCAGGAAGAGAATGGCAGAGGAGGATGCTGATGTGCCGATCAGAAAGCGACCATCGGGACGATAAGGTGTTCATACATGTGATTGCGTTGCAAGAGGGAAGTCAATGGGCTAGTGTGTGGAGAGGGGGAACGCGAGGCATGAAACAACGTTCACGTTCTCGAGCACCTCACGCTTTGGCCTACATATCCTGATTTTTTATTAATGTAGTCACACAGGAAAGGATCTTCCTCACTCCAAAATCCTCCTCAGGAACTCTATTTGAACCCTGATATTCTCATCAAACCCAACCCCACCGCCATATATACCAAAATGACCACAGTCCTTTACAAGATGAATCTGTTTCGGCTCCAAAGCAAGCCGATACATATCAAGCTGGGCCTTCGTCTCAACCGTCGTATCCTGCTCAGGAACAACCATCAACAACGGCGTCGGCGCAATCCTATGCACAAATCTTTTAGGCTCATGGGCCATGAGGTTAAACATTGATTGCAGCGTAACCTCATTCTTCCACTCTCCGCCCGACTTTTCCATATCGTTCATAAAGTGGAACGTCTCCACTGTCCCCAACACCGCAGGCGACCTCCCACTCTCCGCTTCCTCAAGCGTTGCCGGTACAACGGGAACCATCACCGACGCTTTCCCCTCTCGCACACTTGTCCGGTTTGCGAAGATTGCCGGCAGCATAGCTGCCAGCGGCGCAGTCTGGTGTTCGCCAGAGACGAACGGGCTTTGGACTACAACTGCTCTGATACGTTTGTCTATCGCAGCAGCACAAATGGCATTCCCGCCCGAGAGACTGGTGCCCCAGTATGCTATCCTTGCCCCATCAACCTCTGACTGCGAAGCCGCGAAGTCGAACGCATCGAAATAATCTCTGACCTGAAATGTGGGATCGATTTCGTTTCTTGGGAGGCCCTCGCTGTCCCCGAAGTTGCGATTGTCGTCGTAGACGAGGGTACTCCAGCCTTCAGCTTGGAAGCACTCGGCGAAGTGGGAGAGGTTGTGGTGTCTGATTCCTGCGAACTTCGATTTACTTTTGTCAGCTCAATTCTTCTTGAAGGGTGAATGAACACGGCGGGGGGGTTGTTTACCCCATGGCTCATGATAATGCAGGGCCCTTTTGCAGCAGCGGGGTAGAACCACGCCTTCAAAGTCAAACCATCTAGAGTTTTAAACTCGACATCACGGTGGCTTGCTGTCATCTCGAGATGTCTCGCAATAGATTTCATACTCTGTAACGGATATTTTCCTCCGTGTTGGCAGATTGTTCAAAAACTTCAGAACGCATTGGCTTATTCTATGCTTTCCTTCGGCCAGGATCAAGTTTGTACCAGTTAGTGACTCTACACTGGACTAGCATTCCGGTAGTTCGGAATCGTCAAAGGAGCCGAGTCACCTAAAGAAACTCTTCAATCCAATGTAGTACCGTAGAATCCAGCTCGGAATGGTCTCCGGAAACTGGCGGCGCACGTTCTCTCGCTTTTTTCGGGGAGACGCCTCGGCCCGCCTCACCTCGGAACCATTCCGGACGCCTCTTTTTTTATACCCAAAACACCCACTCAGCACAAGGAAATAACCAATTTGAAAAGTTAGTAAAAACAGCTCAGAATTTATCATTCTGATCGGTCACTTCAACAATCCAGTACGGAAAATGCCAAAGTCGATTTTACCCCGCGAGGGACTCACTCTCGAAGCCGCCTTTGCGCCACTCAGGCTCACCATCCTGCAACCCCTCCTCACAGGCCCTCTCCTTCTCGCAGCATACCAATTTCCTACCTCAATCTTATCGAAATGGCCATTCCCTGAAAGCTTGCAACTGCTTCTCCACTCGACCAGGATGCGGACCATTCTAAGCCTTCTTCTCGTCATAGGTTTACTCCGAAAGATACACAAAATAATGAACAAACTGGTTTCGAACAACTTCACCACCGACAAGACCTGGGACTGGACGAAAGAGATCGTTCTAATCACTGGAGGAAGTTCAGGGATGGGAGCTGTGATAGTGAGGATGTTTGCGGAGAGAGGAATCAAGGTCGTGATATTGGATATCGTTGCTCCTCTCGAGGCACTGAATTCATGTACTTGCCCCTTTGACGTTAAGATCTGACTTTATTGGGTTTCTGAAACTGTGAGACGAATGGCTGATGACAGCAGTGCCCAATGTCCACCTCTACAAAGCCGACATTACTTCTGAATCTGAGATCAAGGAAGCAGCAGACCAGATCCGTAAAGCACACGGCCCCCCCACAGTTCTAATCAACAACGCCGGGATCGGCGCCAATCTCCCCATCCTCGCAGAAACAGCAACCCAGATCCGGCGCGTCTTCGAAGTAAACACCATCTCGCACTTCCTGCTCGTAAAAGAGTTCGTGCCGGACATGGCGAAGAGGAATCATGGGCATGTGGTGACGATGGCGAGTATGGCGAGCTTCCTGGTGCATGCACAGAACGTGGATTATGCGTGCAGCAAGGCGAGCGCGCTGGCTTTTCATGAGGGGTTAAGTCAGGAATTGAAGGCGAGGTATGGGGCGGGGAAGGTGCGAACTACGTGAGTATTCTTTCCATGGCCAGGAGATGGTATATTTGACCTCGTGCAGCGTCGTCCATCCAACCTGGGTCCGAACACCGATGATCGAATCTCTTCTCGCAAATCGCAATTTCACAGATTTCGTCCTCGAGCCGGAGACCGTGGCAGAAGCGGTCGTGATGCAAGTGCTGTCTGGGTACGGTTCACAGCTGATTCTGCCTGCACGTCTGGGTGTAGTCTCGGGCGTGAGGGGGTTCCCATCCTGGCTACAGGAGAGCATGCGGAATGGTGTGAACCAGGTGTTGAAAAGTTGAGCGATTCAAACAATCCATTCTTAGTTTTCCCATGGGTGCCACAGACGTGATGCAGGTGTTGAGCTTTCGACCCATGTCCCGTCATTCCAAGGGTCGGCTTGAGCTTGGGACTGCGAAGGAGAGAAAGATTCCAGTCGTGGGATATGACCCATCAATTGCTCGCTTTCTTGCATTTCTTCCGCCCAGTCACATCCCACCGAATACAGAATTTCCGGACTCTCATTCAAAGCCAGTTGCGGACCAATTCCCATCCCATCGTACCCCAGTCTCCTCATGGCCTTATCTAGCGCCTGAACCCGCTCACACAATCGACCGGACGTACAATACGGCCTCAAAATCTCAAGCCCCGTGAAGATCTCCCTCGGAGTATCGCCAAACTCCAGCGGTGCATGCCTAACCGCCAAATACAGCACCGCCACCGCCGAAAGCACGAAAAAGTTGAAATGCACTGCTTGCAAATGATACATGGGTGTGGATTTCTGCAGCTGGAAGCAAGATTGGATTGTCTCGGATGCGGTGAAAACTGCTTTGTGCGAGAGAAGAGCGTTTTGGGCGATGCTGGGAAGGGAGAAGAGGATGTGCTTGTAAAGACCGATTTTTAATTGGTTTCTGCAAACTGTGACGAAGGATTTATGGAATTGGGCTTCGTCGGCTTTTGTGTAGTGAGCGTTGGGTGAGGTGCTGATTGAGGTTGAGATTGCCCATTGATCGGCCTCGATATCGATGGAAGTGCGGGTCGAGGCTTCCAGCTCTATGTAACTGGTTCCCAGCTTCGGCATCGTCGGCACAAATCGGGCCGCGATGCGAACATATTTAATCAATGGCGAAATGTACTTTAGACAATCGTCCTGTGGAAAATACAGGTCAGCCTAGAACCAAATATATCGAGAGAGAACACTGACATATTCAGGGCAAACGTGCTCGATTTCTGAATCTTGAAGAGTGAAAGGAAGGTTGACCATAAAGCTGAATCGTTTATCGAGGACATAGATACACCAGAACATCCGCGTGACCCATTGAGGATGCTCCTTTGTTGATTTATGGAGTCCCAGTTCTTGACACATCTTTGCCACAATACTGATTTTCCTCCAAGCCAAGACGGTCTCGTCGCATTGAAGATGATAGACACTCTGCAAGGTCAGTCAAAACATATGACAAGTTGGGGTGGTTGAGAAACTGACCAGTAAGGCTGCAAGGGCTATGTCCTTGGTATCAAAGTTGGGTCGACTCAATCTAATGGTGAGTTTCTCCGAGACGCTACACATCATAGAACGGCTATCTTCAGTCTCCTTCTTCAACCTCGATGCGAGTGCGCATGCTAGAACTATTTTGAGCATATCTGTATTCCGATTGTCAACCATGTCATCCCAGTCTTCGGACTCGGCATTTAAACTGAAGTCATGAGCGCCGTTGACAGGTTCCATCACGATACTAGCCAGCGAAGTTAAGTTGTTAAATGGGATGAACGGATAGAAGCAGTTAGCCTCGAAACGAAAGGATTCAATCAACTCGAGTGCTTGATCCCCCGAGAAGGGAATGGAAGGTGTAGGTTCTGCTGTGCTTTCGTCAAGGACGAGGAGCTCATCAGGTGTGAATGAGGGCGAAGCGGTGGGCAAATCCAGCGTAAGAAGCTGTGAATCTGACCCACCGCCGTCGGGTCTTTGTCGCGGAGTGTCTTTTCCTGCAATCGTAGCTTGGCAGGTGTCTACCTTCTGTGCGGTCTGAAGAAGCAATGCGTCCAGCTCGGTATCGTGAGTCTGGTCATTTGGGCTGGTCCTTCTCATATGCTGCAGCACCTCATCCAATTTTGTTTGTAGTTGCATGATTATATCATCAAGTCCTTCATGCCTAGAGTTCGTCAGTTTCTTGGCTGCAATTCAACACTTAGAAATACAAATGGAGCACCTTGAAGAAGCCTGTAAGCCTGGACCTGGTGACGAAGTAGTTACACCTCCGTATGTACACCGCACTCTATGAGTTGCGCATTGTTGGCAGCAACGCTCTCCACTACACTTGACCTTACGTTTCTTGCATTGATTACTGTTTATCTGTCAATACCGCCTGGCTCGCTTGGAACGAATGAACTCACCATGCATTGCGAACATATTGCTGGCGTTTCTTAACCCTCGACGCAGCTCGTTGATTCATTGTCCTCGTACAGTCCCTTTTGTTTGATTCCGTCTAGGTAAGTCGAAGTCGTTGTCTCCCAGGTCCCAGGTTTGCACAAGAAGCCCTGGATCTGGGGCTGTCCCGTATTGCGGGGCGGCAAAATCCAAATCGGTAGTTGAGACCGGCTCCGCACGACTGATCAGCTCCCCAACTCTGGGTCTTCTATGAATAAACGACGATGCTGAAGAATGAACTGCGCCCTAGCTTTCTCTTTCCTCCTTGCGTGAAGGAGTGCGGCCTGATGCGCAGAAAATGCGTTGGGGGGCTGGTCTAGATCGCGGTAATCTTCCGAGCACAACATTCCGAGGGCTCGGAATGGGTTCACGTGACGCGGGAGAAGTCCACTTCCCCATTCCAACACTGGGGTTGGACGATTGATATATGAATTAATGGATTTTATCGTATTTGGTAAGGCTGCTCGAATAGCTCAGTTCTCATCGTTTTGCTTGTTCTCAGATTTTCAAATCTGAAATTCACTCTCACCTGAAGCACTTTTGGTCTCAACTCCTCTTTTCCTTGTAGCCTAAAGCCAGTATTTCGACTTGATGGCTGTGGAATTCGATGTTGTGATTATTGGAGCAGGCCTCTCAGGAATCAACGCCGCCCAGCGAGTCCAAATGCAACTCCCAGGACTGACTTACACAATCCTGGAAGCTCGCGGAGCCATAGGTGGGACCTGGGACTTGTTCAAATACCCAGGCATTCGGTCTGATTCTGATCTCTATACTTTCGGTTTTCCATGGCGGCCATGGGAAAGCACGAAAGCCATTGCCGACGGTCCATCAATCAAGCAGTACTTGATCGAATCTGCTGCCGAGTATGGTATTGACAAGCACATCCAGTACCGCCATAAGCTGCTCGCCGCGGACTGGTCATCTAAGACTCAGACCTGGTCGTTAGCAATTGATACCGATGGGGAGAAGAAATACCTGAAAGCCAAATTCATGATCTATGGCTCGGGATACTACGATTATGATGAACCATTGCAAACCACAATCCCCAACATCGACACTTTCAAAGGCGCCACAATCCACCCTCAATTTTGGCCCCAGGATCTGGATTACGCTAGCAAGAAAATCGTGATCATCGGTAGTGGAGCAACCGCAGTGACACTTCTGCCTGTCCTTGCAGAAACAGCAGCAAGCGTCACAATGCTCCAACGGAGCCCAACCTACATCTTGTCACAACCAGCAACGGATTCCGGTTCCTGGATCCGCAGACTTTTCCCTTCATGGATAGCACATGCTCTCGTGCGCTGGAAATACATGTGGGGGATGTGGCTGTACTTCCAATTCTGCCGGGCATTCCCGATCAAAGCGAAGGAGCAAATTGCCGCAGCTACGACAAAGGAACTTCCAAGCCGGATCAAACAAGATCCGAATTTCAACCCCAGTTATAACCCGTGGGAACAGAGGTTGTGCGTTTGTCCGGACGGGGATTTCTTCAAAGCGCTGAGGAAGGGGAATGCACATGTCGTGACGGACACGATTGAGACCGTTACAGAGACAGGGATTTGCACATTGCGGGGAGAGACGCTGGATACTGATATCATCGTCACGGCCACGGGGCTGAAGATGAGATTTGCGGGAGGGGTGAAGATCACCCTTAATGGTACGCATGTTGATATCAAGGGTAAGTATTTGTGGAAGGGGGTGCTAATGCAGGACATCCCTAACACGGCTTTCTTGCTTGGTTACACGAATGCATCATGGACGCTGGGAGCGGAGGCTTCCATGCAGCTATTTTGTAGGATAGTACGCTACATGGCGCCAAGAGGACTTGGCGATGTGACTCCGAGAGTAGAGGATGAGAGTAAACTGCGGCCGATGAGCATGATGAATTTGAAGAGCACGTATATCCTTGCTGCGAAGGGAGTATTGCCGAAGTGTGGAGACTTGAGGCCATGGAGAGCGAGGGCTAGCTACTTTAAGGACTTTTGGGATGCGAAATTTGGTAGATTTGAGGGGTTGGAGTTTCTTAGGGATCGTGGACAATTCGCGGAGTGAGATCGGACCTGAGGTGGATTTTGGCGATATTTGTACCACGTGCCAGAAAAGAAGAATGATATGTCGCCCTTCACGCACTTGACTATAGGGAACGCAATCGTATCGCCAATGAACATTCTTTGGCAATCTTTGGAGAAGAAACTATTTGCCTTTATGGTTCATGCGCAAACGACGGCAGGCTTGGCAGAAATACCTAATTTCTGGTATCAATGGGTATCGATGCCAGAATCGTAAGGTATTGATACTATCGATAAAGTATCAATTCCCGGAACCCAATTCCCCCCTTTAATTGCAATTAACTTTAGAACCACTTCCCTTATAAGAAAACTTTTGGTAGCGCAAATATTCTACTTAATTTAGGCTTTCTATTTAGCTACTTGTCTTATAGTTTAGACTAAAACTCGTCTCAATACGGCTATTTTAAGCAAAAAATAGCTTTTGAGATTTTCGTAAGGCTCGCTTATAATAAGCGTTCCGATAAGAGATATGAATATGATACTAAATTCTCCGAATACAAGGGCCATTTTAAAGTTAAGATAATATTAACTTTTATTAATAATATTAAGTAATTCCTTTAATAGAAAGACTAGAAAATAAAGAAATTATATACAAATACATTATTATATAAATTAAATAATAAATGGAAGAGATAATTTAAGGCTAAGTATTGATTCGGTATTAATATGTATTGATCCTTGCGATACCTAAGTAATACCATCCAGTATTAATACCTTATCGATACCAAAAGTATTTTTTCCAAGCCTGAACGACGGGTGAGGTGTTGTCCACAATCACGTGAGTAGATAGAACTGATAGGGCCTCTAGTCTTCTCCCGTTGCGTCTCCTTCACATATACTAGGGGCCGCATAAGCAGGTGCAGATGCGAAGAGTAAAAGCCAGATTTTCTCTCTTTAACAGAGCATATTATAATCTTGGGGGGAGAGTCTGGCCACCAATCGACACCGAGGGTGTCGTTTTACATTTTCCAGCTTTGACAAGTCAAAATCTTGCTTTTAATAAAAGTGAAGCCCATCCAACACCCAGGATGAAATTTGTAGCTACAGGTGAATGAACATTCATGAAGTGATAGTCGGTACTGAGCAATTAAAGTAAATTTGCCTGAATTTTAACCCTAGGCAGGATCTCAAGCTCGATGGTGTGTATAAAAAACCAAGGAATCTAGGTACAGAAGTCCTCTTCTTATTTCCAAAATATAAATGACAGAACATACGACCAGGTCAACAGCTTGCAAGCACTCTATTTTCTTTCACCAGAAGAGAACTTCAACCAGAATACTATTATTCAGCATCGAACATTGCCGCCATATGAGACAACAGGGCACGTTCGGACTGGAGAGCGTGGGAGAAGGGGAGGGGGCCAAAACACATTTTAGAGCTCGCGCTGGCTCTGACCTGTATTGCCGGCGGTGGATTCGGAGTCGCTACGTTGTCTCCGGGTAGAGTGACCAGGGGAATAATTCTCACTCTACTGGACATACAGCATCAATGCATCATATTTCCTTTCGATGTATCAAAACATCAAAGTGGCGTGGATTCCATATCTTCGGAGCAATATAAATTACAGCCAATATTCGGTTATTACTAGATCTGCGAACCTCTGATGAATACTCTCTAGAAATGCACCTCTGTATGGGTCAGTACTAACCATAACCCTCATTGAAAGTTTGGATTAGGAGAGTTCCATGCAAATGTTAAGTCAGCAAGAGCCGAAGTAATGATCTGGCGCTGATAAATCCACTGAGGTAAAAGTTTAATCGATTCTGTTGACATTATTCAGCGATATAGTTATGCCAGTATCCCATTTTCCATGCTCATTCCAACATCATGGTGGTGGGCTCAAGTCGAGTCCTTCTACTGTTAATTTAAAGGAATCGTTTCTGCAATATGTCAGTTCGTCGACTCTCAACAAGGTGGAATTTGTACCTCGAGTAACTCCCGCCAACATCCAGATCCAGCCTTCCTCTCAGGCAATCATCAAAGTCCACATCATGAACAATAAGTGCATTGTCATCATCCCACAATGGACCTACTAGAACCTCGCCCAGCGGGGAAATCATGCAAGATCCACCTCTCGATACGAACTCTTCTTCCTTAGCCTTCGTCTGCCCTTGTTCTTGTATCGTTGATTGGAACGTTGATGATCTTGGTGAAGGTAACACAATCTCATTCCCATCCTCGGTAATCGTACTCTTCCTCCTCAGCCTGGCTGGCGTAGGCGTTCCATTCGTCCATTCACTCTCCTCCTCAATCGCGGCAACCGATTCCTTTGGAACCGGCAAAGCAATTTCATTCCCATCCTCACACTCAATCGTAGACTTCCTCCTTAACCGCGCAGGCCTCTGCGTCCCCGGTCCATTGACCTTCCCTTCCGCAGCCCCTGCTTTCCCTGTAATCCAATCCGGTAGATCACTCTCCCGCAAACATTGATTGGCACTCATCACAAAACACCTCCCCTCCATCGCAATGGCCCTCATGAGCACCGACCACGTCTCCCGTCCATCCGCTGTCGGCGCGAGATATAGATTTACATTCTGGCTATACAGACTCTGTCTCAAAAGCGGCATATAATTTTCCCAGCAAATGGCTGCCGCAAGTGTAAGCTTCACACCTTTAATCGTCGTCGTTACAGCTCGAAGTGAGGCGGGCTGACCCTGGCCCCAAATCAATCGTTCAGTCGCTGTCTGAAAGAAGAATTAGCTTTGAGAAGGTAGGTGGACGGGGAATGAGACACACAGGCATAACCTTCCTCCTCTTCCCCACACATCCCACACGTGGACAAATATACAATACAGCACAATACAACGTCCCCGCACATCTCTCCACCACCCCTACGACCAAAAACACTCCACTCTCCTTCGCGATCCTCTCCAGCTCTTCTCTTGTGCCGTCACCTCTCACTCCACCATCCTTTGGTACTTCCAAACTCCTGTCAACCCACGCTTGTCCCGCACCTTCCGGTGTATCCCCCAAATCAACCGCATCCTTAAAATACCGCAGAAACTGATCTCTACCGGCCGGGTCACGAACACCGATCGCGCACCCGAATGTTGCGGTGCGCGGGTATCCACCTAGGTAGGCTTCGGGGAACAGGAGAAGGTCGATAGATTGGGACTTCGCGTGCTGGACTGTGTGTTCGAGGGCGGCGAGGGTGAGGGCTGGGGTGGAGAGGGTGTGGGATTGAGAGATTGCTAGCCGGAGGGTGGCTGTCATTTTTATGGTAGATTTCTGGGAGAGTGAGAGATTGAGTCGGGGTGGAGAGGAGAGGAGTCTTGTGGTTATGGCAAGGTGAAGTATGAGTTAGGTGAGGATGTAAGATTACAATGGCGGGGTAATTGCGGGGTCTTGATTAGTGAGCAGATCGGCACTTCCACCGGTCATAAGTCGCATAAGAGCTTGAAAATCGGGAAAATGTACCGACACCCCCCTCCCCCCCCCCCCCCGGTGTCGATGGGGGCAAGGATATTTAATTGGCTATCTGAGCTCTTCAAAAATCTGAAATTAGATTTTTCAACATAAGTCTAAGCTAGTATATCACAATCCTTGTATCATAATCACGTGATTTCTAACTTATAATAAAATGATTCCTTAAACTAGTATTTTAATTTTAGGGAGTTTATAGGTTAACATTCGTAATTTTGCTCCCGTGAAGTTGGAGTCGCTAGAAATTACTCGCTTAGGAAAGGGGGAGAAAGGAAGGGAGAATTCAGTGTTAGGACCACCTCGTCGGGATGTGTTCTTTGCCCACGACCACTCTTGGAGAGGTTTTCATAAAAGGACTATCGTAGTTCAAACATGGAATCCGTGTCACTGTATTCTTTATTCTTTTCTCCCTGTAAGTGCCCTCGGATCCAACTAATCCTCCTCGTCTGCTTCTCGGAGAGTCCCTCGTCTTGCTCAGTGGCTGCGAATCTGGTCGGCTGTTTGGTCGGTGCAATCGGAATTGCGCTGGTTGAGAAGCTTTTAAGAAATCATAGGCAGAAGATGAACGGTTACACTTTATCGTCGTGGATTGCTTGGATCTGGGGCTCTGGGTGGTGACGAGGCGTTCTTTTTCGGAAGTTTCCACCCACTACGCGCCGTGGCGATGGAGCCGGAACTCCCTCCCTTTCTTTTTTAGGCACACTAATTGGCGTTCTGCGACTTGGCGTGCGACCGCTTCCGAAAGCGACACAGAGTCCGCCAAGGAATGCCAAGGAAGGCTGACGGTGGTGGAGAGTGCCTCTGAAACTGCCTTCAAAAAGGGGCCCATGGGCAACGGCGCTGGAATCGCAAGAGGTCCGCATCGACTCTGGGCTCTGTTCCTTCAGGTCTGAGTACAAGATATGAGAACAACCTGCAGGGCTTGTAATTCGTGCTAGTACTATCACTTCATCAAAACCAGCGGCCTTCATCATGGCTCGTCCGCAGAGACACAACACGCCGCGGTTCCACTATCAAACGCTTCAAGGCAACGAGATACGACTACTCCAAATCCATCCCAGTTCACGTTCGAAAAGGGATCGGAACATGTCGGACAGCCCTATTTACTGCGATCTTCATCACTTCCCGCTTGTCGAACCGGCTCCATCAGGCAACTTGGTCGCTAGGCTGGCCAAAATGGAGTCAACCTGGGGTATCTCCGCTCATGAGTTAGGATTCCGCATCGTTGGGAAACGTAAGAAGTATAAATCAGTCTTTTTAAAACTCAAGGAAGTTCTCTCAATGAACTTGGCACGACGTTCAGCTGTCAATGGGCGTTTTCCTTGGGGCGACTATGTGGCCTTGTCATATACCTGGGGAAATACCGACGAAACTAGCGAGATCGTCGTTAATGGGAAGCCTGTCAAAGTACGGCCGAATCTAGAATGCGCACTAAGAGTATTGAGAGAAAAAGGTCCGATCCGAGCTGGGATGAAAGTCTGGATAGATGCACTGTGTCTTAACCAGATGGACACGAATGAGAAGAACGCACAAGTGCCTCGAATGAGAGAGATCTATCAGAGAGCGTAAGTCTTCCCGTTTACCATTCTAATTGCTGCTGAGAAGTGGTAGTCTCAATGTCGTGGTATGGCTGGGGCCGGAGGTAGAATATAGCGATAGCGCTATGAAACTCATTCGCATCCTGGCCGCTTCTTGGAGGGCCGATGAAGGAGAAGCTTTGGCTAAAATCATAGCCGAGAATCCTCTTCTCTGGCACTCCCAAATAGATTGTGAACAGGGCTCCTTACAAAACTGCTGGGAAGGCATGCGTTCCCTCATGCTAACGCAGTACTGGAAGCGAGTCTGGATCGTTCAAGAGCTTGCTATGGGCGGCAGAGAGTCACCACTGCTATACGGCGATGCATGCGTTAACTTCGGGGAAGTCTGCAATGCGACAGCAGCATGGATGACCAGGCATGCACGCTTTACATCGCAGGCTATGCTCTATGATCGTTTGATGAGCGGAAACCTGCAGCAAAGGCTGACAAACATGCAAGACTTTCGACTATCTCCTGAACCGTCTCGCGAGGGACTTTTTGGCGCCGTTACTGGAGTCGCTCAGCTATTGTCCGACATCGTATCTCTCGGGGAAATCCAGAATACTGATCAATGGATACTTGACCACGATCGTATTACTTTTATCGAAAGTGTAGCTAACCGCCTCGAAGGTTCATCCGTCATGTGTTCCCCCCCTGGAAATCTCATCGCACTGGGCAGGACGAGCGAAGCTTCTCAGCCACAGGACAAGATCTATGGCTTTCTCTCACTTATGGATCCGAAGTTTTCATCACAGTTCAAGGTGGACTACAACCAGAACGCAACAGAGGTCTACACAGCTTTCAGTGTCAATTGGATAAAGTACAGCAAGAAGTTAGACCTCTTCACCCACTGCTTCTTGGAGCACAACCATACACCCTCCTGGGTTCCGGATTGGAATTTCAATCATGCGGATTCGCTACCTCTGTACTATATAGGCGAGGAGGATGATGGTTACCTAGCCGGCGGATTGAAGACTATCTTGGATGTTCAGTTCTCACCCGACCTGAAGCGGATGAAGACATTGGGCATGCTTGTTGACCAGATAGATGGCCTCACAACCGCGGATGATGAAGTCCCAGAGTCCATACGACAAGGCAGCGCAACTGTGAAAGGTACATTTGACGAAGTGCGCAAGGCCCTCTGGCAAACCTTTGTTGGTAACCGAGATCACCTCGATGGTGAGCTCACGGCAACGCCACTTCTCCCGAACGAGGACGGAGAGTCACTCCTAGATGTACCTCTGCCGAAGGAACCAGGGTCTGCCCTCCCAGAACCCTACCGACGAAGTCTCTATAAGTTCATCGAGACCAATCAAACGTTTTTGATCAACGGTCTCCGCTTAGACCAGTACTTTGCCAACAGCGGTCAACGGATAGAAGTTGCTCCAGAAACCTTGCCGGAATCCAGTAAGAAGTTTGATCTCCGCCGCCAAATCTTCACAGCGTCGATGCTTCTGAAACGGCGGAGGCTAGCAACCACAATCAATGGCAGGCTCGCGCTTGTCCCAAGAGCAGCAAAGCCAGGTGACATAGTCGCGATTCTTGTTGGCTGTGGTCAGGCCGCCATCCTTCGATCGGATGATGATAGCTTCAAGGTTGTGGGGACCAGCTATGTCCATGGCATTATGGAGGGTGAGCTACTAACCAAGGAGATCTTACTTGAAAATGGTTGTGATATATGGCTGAGCTAGATAGTTGACGACACGTTGCATTTTGGAGCTCCGACGACAGTAGATATGCTCTGGGCCCAATCCTGTGCAAAGAGTATCGGCGGGAAGGGACGGTGGCTCTCTAATAACTTTACGGCTTCAGTCGGCGGTCTGAACCACGCGAGACGAAGATAGTTATACCTATTACACTTACGAGAAGCTTGGGAAGGGTGCTTACACATTCGTGGGAGAAATGCAGGAAGAATATGTGTGCGCTTACTGATGTGGTTATTGCTACCGGAGCCGTCACCGTGTGAATTGGGAGTGGGTAGCGAGGGTCGACAAATAGCCGTACTTCTGTAGGCGAATTTTCAGGGGCTTCTCGCTAATGTTGCGGGATCACGGAAGCAAAAACGAAAAGAGTGGTGGAAAGTATTCCAGAGTTGCGTTTCTCTCTGCGAGCGTAAACTAAGAATGCCGAGAAGGATACGAAATTTTATTCTCGAACAACCCGGGATCGTCGCTATTCCTCGCCATGCGTGAGCCTTCTTTGGACAAATGACCGGACAACACGGTACCCGCCATACGAGCTCACATAGCCACAGGCGATTTTGGCAAACATGCAAAATTCGGTGCCTAGGTACATCCCCCTATTTTATTCTGCAGGGTAACGGATCAAAATGGGCAGGTGCTACGTATGCTCGTCGGCTGGGTGCGGAAATGCCTGCGAAGAGTAACGCCATGGGTTGCAACCGAACAGTCAAGTAAAGTTAGCTACGACACCCCCAAAGAGTGACAAGGAGCACACATGTACTTAACAGATCCGGAAAGCTCTTTCTTTTTGTGGCGAGTCGCACGTGCATTACCACAAATACCTTTCATTCCGAATTACAGTAGTAATCATACCCTAATCTGGAAAATGCAGCTCCAATTTCTACCTTCCCTTACATGCCTTGCTTTTAGTACAGCTCTCGTCTCAGCATTGAAATTTTCATAGAGCGATAGTCCACCGAAATTGGCAGAAAGACTCCCCTTCGAGGAGAAGGAGCGGGAAGTGCCATTTTCGGGCAGGACACCACAAACTCTACTGTTGACTTCATAGCAAACTCTGGAACCTGCAAGACGACTTCGGGTGTAAATCAATATTCTGGCTATTTCTCAGTGGGAAGTTAGTTTCTAGCCCTCTTTTTTTTTATTTATCATACGGCTCACATAACTCTGCAGCCGATTTGAGCACGTTTTTCTGGTTCATCGAGTCTAGAAAACCCCCCGAGCGTTGTGTCCTTAGCAGTCTGGCTCAACGGCGGTCCAGGACGCTCTTCATTGTATGATTTGTTTGCGTTATATTCTCCGCAAATAACTCTTGATTCGTCCAACTTCTTACCAACGACAGGAAAGTGGCCCCTGTCAATGCTACAACGGCTCAAGCACGCTCACCCTCAACCCATACAGCTGGAACGAGTACGCAAATATGCTGTATATAGACCAACCCATCGGGGCAGGCTTCTCCTACAAATATGGATCTTCTCAACGGAATGCAGGCGTCAAATCGAGTGTGGCTGCAGCGCCATTCATAAGAAATTTCCAATAAACATTCTTCGCCCAATTCCCGGAATATAAGAGTCGAGACTTTAAATTATCTGCAGAGCCGTATGGGGATCCTCACGGCCCAGGTGAGATCTTTCTCCTTTCACTTATCTCCGTTGTCTGTCATAGCTCATACTAAAAGATCTAGAATTCGCATCTTATTTTCTCTCTCAAAACACCGCAATCGAGGTGGGCGATGTTATAGAAGAGAAGATCGAGCTCGTAGCGCTCGGAATCAATAACGGTATGTAATATGTATCACGTATGACACGAAGATTCTGAAAAGAGGTCTGATAGAATTCGCATATAGAACAGTAACTTTCGACTCATCAACAATGCGACATACACCTCCCTGTTTGCTGTATATGAGGACTACTTCCACCCCCTCGCGGATCTGTGTGAGAAGAATCGCACAAATGCTGAATACACCGCGCTTATAGCAGTTGCGCTAGCCTCATTAATTTTGCCATTGGCATGGAGAACTGGGACGAATACGACATTCGTCAAAGTGGAGGCGGTCTATACCCACCATCGACATATGAGAACTACCTTTCCGACCCGGCAATTATGAAAGCCATCGGTGCCAGCCTGCCAGGGGGGAGGTTAGTTAGGTGTTCGAATGCCGTGAAGGGAAATCTTGCACTTCCTTGGGATAGTAAGGTGTTTCCTTCCATTCCTTATTAGCTTCTGGGTTCATTCAGGAGATTACATGGCTAAATTTTAGTAGAAGCACGCTCCTCAATTCCCGCGCTCTGTAAAGTCGTTCAGTCGGGTGTGCTGCGTGCAAACAGTGCTTTGGCATGGGGATTCAGATGCTGTTTGCGATTGGTTTGGTGGTCTTGCTATCGCTGAGAATATCACGTTCTCTGGTAGTGAAGAGTTAAAAAGTAAGGAAGGGAGGAACCATACAGTCGATGGTGTGGTGGGTGGCACTTTTAAGGCTGTGGATAATCTGAGTTGGTTGAGAGTATTCCAATCTGGTCATGAAGTCCCTAACTATCGTAAGTGTTTAGAGAAAGATTCTTTGTGGCCAAGGATTGCTAACTTGGGACAGAACCCGAATTGGCGCTGCAAGTCTTTAAACAGACTATGCAGAAGAAGGGGTTATACAATACATGAAATTTGTAACTAGTTGTATAACAGCTCGGCTCTTTTGGACTTGATGGAAGGCTGGGTTTGAATTTAGTGTAAACTGGTTGCTTTGAGGCTTTCACAGAAGTGCGGTTCCTAAAAGCCAGACAAGATACTCGATCACTCTTGGTTTCTTCCCTTGAGCAGCCTGTAATTTCTCATTCATTGCGAATTCCAGCACTCTCCTCTGCACTTAGAAAATCCTCCCACACCATCTGGATATCGTTTTGATAAATCCAAGAAAGGGTATCGATCCCACCAAGCCCTTTAATCTTCACCTCTAAACTTTCTTCGAAAGTCTGCTCTGGATTCTTAACTTTTGCATCCTGGAAGGTCTTCATTTGTTTATCGAGATGCTCATACCTGCGGTACACGCGAGCAAGGTTAGTCGAGGACTCATAATGTTCAGGAGCGAGAAGGGGTATACGAACATCCTATGGTAATAGGGAGATCGAATCGAGTCAAAGATGGCAAGCGCAGAGGCAAGGGGCTGACAGGACGAGCGGGTGTGCGCAATGGCTTGAGCAAGAATCCAGCTATCTTGCATAGCAAAAGCTGCGCCTGATCCAAATGCCCCTGATTGAAATCCGTGAGTCGGGTTTCTAATAGATGCAGTCATTTGGGTCATCTTACCGGTCAGTGGATGACTCGCATCACCGATGAGTACAACTTTGTCCCAAGCCGTAACTTTCTCCAATCTTTGACCTGCAAAAGCTGAGAACTCTTTCCATAGTCCTTCTGGAACCCTGGAGAGTGCCTCTCGTACCCTTGGATCGTATTCTGTGAAATGTGATTCAACTCTTTCATTAGTAGCAGGGATGCCCCAACTGAATCTCTTCTCTTTGACTGTTGCAGCAGGGACGACATTGTGCACTGCTATCTCGAACATCTGATCGGCCTCAGGTGTTTCAGAAGGATCATCTACCAAGCCGTTATAGAAGTGCCCTGCGGGGCCGTGCCACCAGGCTGTCGAGGAAGTCATATCCGGGATATCAACGATGAGGGACTTGGGAATAATCACTCTCCAGATTGTCCTGCCTGTCCGCCAGTCGATTAGGGATAGACGCAAGGTTCAAGACGTAGACGCTTACCGGTGAATTTGATAGCATGGGAAGGGAAAACACTTTGCCGGACCACCTAAGACGTTAGCTAGCCACCAACACAAAAGGGAAAGGAAACACACTGATCTGATTCCATCCGCTCCGATAACAAGATTAGCAATGACCTCTTCCCCATCTTCAAAGACAAGACGCGCTCCGCCTTCATCGATATTGTTCAATGAGACAAGTCGCTTCCGCAATTTTATGGCTCCTTCTGGCACTTTTGCAATGAGTGCTGCTTGGAGGCGTGTTCTTCTCACTCGTTGCCCGCGATATTGAGGCGCCACCGCCACAAAAATTTGTTCTTTCAAAGGCACGCCATTGAGTCCATTGCTATCTCCCAAGGAACTTTATTAGTATGCCTTTCATGTGTGGGCGGGAAAATGGTTGAAGCACCGATGAACAAAGGTCTCTTGTACGTGACCTTTGACCGCAGCAGCAGCGTCGAGTAATTCTAGGACCTTCCAGCAATTGTAACCTATTTGGATGCCAGCACCGATCTCGCGTAGCTCTCTCGCTTGTTCATATATCGTTACTGCGACGTTCGGGAGCTTTGAGAGCGCTATGGCAGAGCTTAGCCCCCCCGGACCACCTCCGATGATAGCAACCCGAAGGGTGGGAAAGGCTGCGCTTGGCATGATTGAGGAATACTTAAAGTTTAAAGGCAATATTGTTACAATGGGATAGTAGATCGAGAATGAACCGGCCTTGGTGATTATTATGACAGGCGATTACAAATATGTTGCAGACCAAACATCCGTTCCGCTGCGAGGTACGCCCTTCGCTTAGATAGGCGGAAATTTAAAACTCCGACTCTTCCAATGCATTTTACTTTGTAGATCCTTTATAAAAGTAAAATAAAACTGGAATTAGCGCTAACTAAAAGGTTATCTATTAGTCGATAAGAGGACCCAAGTCTTGTATTATTACGTGGAGATTTATTCGAGTTTGAAGTTAGGAGAAAGTCGTAAGGGAAGGGCTCAGCTGGTGGCAGCAGAACGGAGAGTGCAATCCCAACGCCCAATGGCGTGATAAGGTTATGTTTCCATCACGCATCTCCACCATCCTTACGTACGGACTCTGGACGATAAGGAATTATTAAGCACACTCCTCGCTCCTTGTCGCAAGCCTCAGCAAGAATTAGCGAGCTGTGAATAGCGTCCCCAAAACATTGGCCGCCCGCAAGCTTCACCAACCACACTGAGAGCGCGAGCAAGACACAGCGCGTTGACCCCCAATTATTTTCGGCCAATTGCAATCCACTGGCACCAATCTTATAGTTACGCTATTTATTTGAAGGAGACGACTATAGCAATCACGTGTTTCACCCCGATCCCTGCCCTTCGGTGCTGTCTCAAAGAGACCGAGTTTTGTGCACTGTGCATTTGGGTTTTCATTGTGAGTTCCTATACCCCGTGAGAAAAGAGGCAATTGTAGACTTGGGCCAGAGCCGGAATTGGCTTTGCAGGGTTTCAAGCAGCTGATGCTACGCCTCGCTTGATAGCTAAACAGACTGGTTGATAGACTGATAGTTCTGCTGTGTGAAATCTGAATATAGTTGTACTTTAATTGTGGTTTATATTGTGATTTTCATAGGGGGAAATTCCTCGTTAGAGCCAGGGCGGGTAATCGATTACTCCTTGAGATTGATGTCTACTCTACTGTATATTAAGGAAGATTATGTAGAGCAGGTCATATCTGGGGAGGACATGCACATTCAGCAAAGAACCCTCGTTGTATTTTAGAAGTACGGAATGCCTTCATTCATTTAACGTCGGGACTTAGAGTTCACAAATGTTGAGTTTTTCCGTATCATCTCTTGCGCATCTACTACTGAGGCCATTAGCGGGCTAGCGGACAAATCCGAGAAGCGAAAAGTGATTTTCTGATTTTCTGATTTTCGCGCCCACACCTCACTAAAAAAAAAAAATACAGTATATACGCCTTATTCTCGACTACTCCTAACCCCCCCTTAGCTTATATAGTCCGTAAGGCAAATCCCATGGATTACAGGCATATCTCCATCTCCCTTACTCTCTATATCCTCTATACTACCTATATTACTCGAATTATCTATATCTTCTTTATTCCCTTCTCCTCTAGTATCCTTACCCTCCTCTACTATAACCTCCTTCCCTATTGCCTTCTAACCTTGTATCTGTCTTTATACTCGCTTTTTATATCTTATAGGCAGTCGAGGCTTTGGTATAAAGGGTTTTATAGATACGGAATAAGGCTTTCCAGACTTGGTAGGATTAGTATTAAATTAATAGAAAGTATAGACTTTACTATTATTATTATATCTGTAATTTATATAAGTACTATCGAATTCGCTTTTTATAACTATATAATATTTAAAAGGGCCCCTTGGTCTCTTCTTATTACTATAAGTAGTATAAGCTTAAAAGAATTTGGTTCCGTAAGTATATACTAAGCTTACCTCTAGATTTGCCTTATTTTTCTCTAATTTCTTTAGCTCTCTGCCCTAGTATAGCTCTATCTCTCTAACTTTAGTCTTATTATTAATTCGCTTTACTATTTTAGTAATATTATTAGATAGTATAAGGAGATTAAAGTATTATTATAGAAGAGGAAAAGAAGGTTATATATAAGAAAAAAATCAAGAAGTAGAGAGGTTTATTAGTTAAATATATTAATAGGAGAGGATATTATAAACTAAATCTAAATTATTAGAGAATATATTATAAATATTATCTTTCTATTTATTTATAGCTTTATTGCCTTTTCTATTACTTTTGCCTTTACTAGAACTATTACCTAAAGCTATATTTAATATATTTTTAATAAAAGAAAGCTTTAATAATAGTATTATATATTAGAATTAAAGTTATTTTCGGAAAGAGGTTAAGATTAAGGTTAAGGCTAAGATTAAAGCTAGTATAGCTATATTTTTATTATTTATTTTTAGGATATAAAAATATATATTTAATATAATTATTTAAACCCGAATAAATTTATAATAAATAATATCTAAAAATGGAAATATTAGTATTTAATAGCTCTAGGTTAAATATCTTTAAATATTAAAAAAATTATAATTTTAGATATTATAATTATAAAAATAAAAATAAAAATATTTTTTCTTTTACTAATTTATAAAAGCCAAAATATACTAATAATAATTAAACTATATTTAACCTATATAGTTAGCTAATTTATTTTACTAATTATAAATAATTTAAGGTAATTTAAATTTCTTTAAATCTCTATATATAGCTTATTATATAAACTTCTATATTTCTATATTTAATAATATTATAATTATAATTTTTAAATAAAAAGAATTCCTTTATTCTAATATATATAATTATATTTATTTCTTATTTTTCGAATATATAGTTATTAAATTAGAAAGACTTAAAAATTCTAAATAATACTTTTTCCTAAAAAATATATATTTTTAATAAATAATAAAAGTAAATATAAAATTATATAATAATATAACTATTTTATACTAATAACTTTATTTTTTATAAAACTATAATTCTATTCTATTTTTATTTTAAAACCTTTATTCTTTTTTTATATTTTTTCGATTTTACTATTAATACTAAAAGCTTCTATTTTTTATTAATATCTTTTCTATTAATACCTTTATTAATATCTTTATTAATACTTCTATTAATATTAAGAACTAGTATTTAACTATCTTATAACCTTTCTTTCCTTCTCCTTATTTCTTTTCTAAACCTCTTTTCCGAACCTCTCTTTTTTTTAATATTTCTTCTATTAATACTAAAAGCTAATATCTAACTATTTTATAATCTTCCTCTCTTTTTCCGAATTCTTTTAAACCCCTTTTCTAAATCCCTTCTCCGAACCTCTCTTCCTTTAATACTTTTACTAATAATACTAAAAGCTAGTACCTAACTACTATTTCCGGGTTACTTTTATCTAGAATTCCTATACTATAAGTCTTTAATTCACTTATTTCTTAGAAAGCTAAATTTTAGATTCCTTTTCTCTTTCTCTAATATCTTCTTTTTCCCTTTTCTAATATCTCTTATATCTTTAGGCCCTTTAGGAATACCCTCTTTTAAACTTCCAAAAAAGAGGCTAATTCCTATTTAGATTTCTCCGAATTTTAATACCTCCTCTCTTTTTTTAATACTTATAAAAGCCTTTGGGCTATTATTAAGTACTTTTATTCTTTATTTTGAAATATATACTAACTTATTCTTATAGGAAATAGCCTTTCTTCTTCTAATTTTAACTCTTTTAATATATATTTCTTATTTTTGGGCTATTTAGATATTTCTTTATTTATTTTTATAAAATATATACTAACTTATTTTTTAGTTTCTTTTACCTTATTTCTCTTTTAATATTACTATATATATATCTAGTTAATACTAGTTCTTATAATCTATAGTTAGATTTTCTATTTATTAAATATCTAGATATTTTATTTTACTTTTCTTTTATTATAAGTTAGGATTTAAATAGTATTTACTTTAAATATTTATATTCTCGAATATATAAAACTCCTATAAATCTTTTGGGATTATAAACTAGCCTATTTTGGTTCAAGAAAGCTTTTTTAAAAATATTTCAGGAATTATAGTATTTATTATAATTCTTTTTAAAAATTAATATAATATAGATATTTCTAGTCTATTCTCTTTCTATAAAGCAAACCGCTATCCTAAATATATATAAAAGTTCTAATTATCTTTTAAATTAAAGTATAGATATTTTTTATTTCTATTAAATTAAATATAAAAAATAATAAATACTTTCGGATTAGACTATAATACTAGTTAAATACTAAAACTTCTTATATCTATTTTATAAACTTATAATTCGAGATATATTATATTTAATAGGACTTCTATATCTAATTACTTTATATTATAATAAAATATTTTAGTATTATAGTTAGAAAAGTTCTATTTTATAATCTTATCTATTATTTATAAATTTTCTAGCTAATAAGTTTTGGCTAATAGCTAAGAAACTTATTAGCTATTTTATCTAAAGCTTCTAGAAACAGGAAGTTATCTTAATAAAGACTTAGTATTAAAAATGAATTTAATTAATTAATCCAAATAAGGAATTTATAGTAAGAGTCTTTATATCTAGATAATTCTATATAATAAACTCAAATCTCTATTCCTGGTTATTTAAGTAAGCTATATAAGAAACTCTTTCTAGCTTATTGGAATAGTTCCTGTCTCTAGTTATATGAATTATAATATATAACAAACTCAAAATTTTCTAGCCTATTAGAATTTGAGTTATTTTTAGAAGAATTAGTAAGCTTTTCTAGATAGATTTATTAAGGCCTTAGTTTTTAAAAGTATTAATTTAGCTTTTTTATTTCCCTTTTAGATAATAGTTTGGCTTTTAGGAATTATATATAAATATTAATAGAATAAATATAGGAATATACTATATATACTTTCTAGATAAATTAGAATAAAACCTATAGGATTTCTATAATATTTATATTAAATTTATAATACTAGCTAGTAAAGACTTTAATAATTTTAATAAAACTTGAATTATAAACCCGGCCTTTAGATTTCCCATTTAACTTAAAGATTAAATAGTCTATAATAGGTTATCTATTATAGAATATATTATATTCTTTTTCCAAAGAATATTAGATACTAGT